AATGACGTATTTATTGACGTCATTATTAGGTACCTTGACGTCGGAGACCAATGCGGACCAAAAAATCACGTCAAATGACGTCATATCGACGTCAGTGTGTTTGCTGGAAACTATGGCCAAACTGCTTTCATCCACAGATTGGTGGTTAACTACAACAGTTTCTACTGCAACTGTGATATTTTTAACTACTCCCCAGTGTCGCAGCCAGAAATTTTGTTTGGGGGGGGGAGCATGCAGAAAAAATTATAGGAAAAAAACACAGACCCACTATCCATTAAACTTTTTATGATATGAGCTTTTGTCTACTTCATTATTTTTCTATTTTTCTCTGAAGCCTTGGGGGGGGGGCTCGGGCCCCCTGACCCCCCCCCCCTGGCTGCGCCACTGCTACTCCCTGCCACAAATCAGGAAGATGATAATAGGGAATTATTGAAGAGTATAAAATGCCAGGCACTAATAGCGCTAGGCAATATTTTGAAGTTTTTGAGACGTGCGCGTTGTGGCAGTACTGTTTATATTTTGTGCCGACGCTAATAAAGTTTGTGCCTGTCACTATTTGTGGAAAATAAAAACAGGCCATAAACAGGCACAGTCTCGTCCCTATGTCTCTTCTTTTTTTTTAAGTTGACGTTCGTCAAGGCTTATTCAAATGTTAACCTCATTTTTTCATTAATTTATATTTATAGGTTTGTTCAGATTTAGTTCAGAATGAGTTCTGTATTGAACTGCGCTTGCGCATTAGTTTACATGTTCGATATGAACAAATGCGCAAGCGCAGTCCAAATCAGAACTAATTTTGAACGAGGTCCGACCAAACCTATTTTTTCAATTCAATTTCCAGTGACAGGTTAGGGGCTTCTTAGCGGTGTGGTGTTTAGTGTTGTGCTTTTATAGGTTTTTCTACGATTTGCCTGTTCTGTTGATTGTATGTGTTGGATTTTCCCATTAGAATGGGCTTTTATGAAGAGAAAGACATCAATTTAACCTTTAGCTGCCCGCGCTCTAGAATATCCTGTAGCTACCCGCGCAGTGTATTATGTACACCACATTTATGAATGCGTGATTGAGTGCATAAATCAATGTATAAGGATAACGAAATATTTTGCCTTGATTTGTCATGCTACGAATTTGTTTTTACCCATATACATGCTCGAAAAATTTCATAACCGGTACCATTTGTCGTCCGGAATTCCAAAAAGTGGGTATGATTTTGTTTCTCATATCCAGACATCAATTGCAAACCCATGAATGTTTGCATTGCACTACAGTTTGGTTGTAGTGCACTGAAGAAACTGTCAATAAACCAACTTACTTTCCAGCTACCAAATCGCAACTGTCTGAGCACCTAGTTGGGATGCGCACGATGTATCGATGTTTCAAAAACATCGATTTTCTTATTTCGATGTTTATATCGATGTTTTTTTATTCGATAATATTAGAGAACATCGATATTTTTTTGCGATGTTTTTTCGATGTTTTCTTCTAAATACTACACCAGTTTTTCAGTACCTTTTTTGAGAATTTGATGAAAATCTATTTGTTGAACATTGGGAAGAAATAAAGAATGTATATCTGCGACTATCAAAGATAGCTTCAAAATACTTTAGCGTTATTGTAGCAGCTTCGGTTCCATATGGGAGACTATTTTCAAATGCAGGACCAACTTTTGACACAACACACGAATTATATGGAAAAGGAAAAAATAGTCAAAATTTCTGCTTTTGGATGATAATTGTGATTCAAATATGATTGTTATTTGTATTCATATCATTTAAGTCAAGTATCTAACTAGATTTACTCTCTAGTGCTTAGTTATTGCTATTGTTTGCTTTCAAATGTACTTTTTCTTCATTATAAATCGTATATTTATTACCTGTATGTATATTATATTAAAAATACATAAGTATAGGTTAAGTAAAAATGATATTCTGTTTATCAACAGTTTAATTTTTTCTTACCATATTTTCAAAAACATCGATGTTTAGAAACATCGATAGTTTCAAGCCGATGTTTTAACAACATCGATTGTGCATATTCGATGTATCATTTGATGTCAACATCGATGTTTTCAAAACTTTGCGCATCCCTAGCACCTAGTAAACATATCGGTCGTAGGTTATATCGAGGGACATGAGTGGGGGATACCGGATAGGGTTTTTACCGCCCTTTTAAGAGAAATGGTGTATTTTTTACACCGGCGCGGGAAGTTAAAGGTTAAAGCCACAAATACTTTGCTTCAATGACCACGTGGCCTCGCCTTTCATCATTCTCGTCCCTTAAAATGTGCTCTAGAATGACGTATCCCATGTCGTCATCATCCCCATCCTTGTCCCCTAATAATACGGCCAGTGTTGCCAATCTGAATTTGTGAAATTACACCATATGTTGGTCAAATTACACGTTTTTACACGCTTTTATTCTCACAATTACACGATTTTTACACACGATCTTGGTACCTATTCTAACATCAAGAAACAAGTATAATTTTTTTTTTGTTAATTATGATTTTGGGAAATGGGTTAAATCCAGTCAAATCTGAGGGTTATTGCTCCTGATCATCGCTCCTCAACCAAGAATAAAGATGTAGAACTACAGAAAAGCGTTTCGAAAGTAATCAAATTACGAATTACTCTGATTCCTGGAAAGAAGGTTACTTCTGGACCTCAGTTTCCTGCAAGCATACTACACACTACTACTACTACAGGATAGCCTATCCTCATAAGGCCTGTGTAGTTCAAATCTCAAGCCCCCCTGCCATGCCAAAGTACCAGTGATAACGTAGGCAGCGTGTCATTTCTTGTATTCATTAATTAACATTACAAAACAACTCTTTTTCATATCTCGTTTGCATCTTCCGCTTCGCCTATAATCAAACTTAATTAACATTTTTCATCATAAATTTAAAACGACCGCCGACGCAAGCAGCTGACCAGCTGACGACTTAGTTAATGACGTCGGCAATGGTGCTAAACCATATGACCGCGATTACTTAAAAACGTAGTTCAATGTAAAAACGAGGCCTATAAGCAATCCCTAGTGTGTATTATCCTTGGCCATAAGGGTAGCCATTTGACAGATCATTTGTTTAAGTCGATTAAACGCGAATAACCAGTCGGTTATATTGACAGATGAACAATGCATTTACCGTCATTTATCACCGATTGGTTGACAAATGCCGTTTGCTTCATTGGTTATCTCTCAACTATGACCAACCGGTTAATCGCCTTTTATCGATGTATAGATTGGAAAGCCGTGAAACAGACAAAAATAAAAGTCAAATTTTTCAAATTACACGCAAAATAAAGTGCCCTGTGGGCAGTTTCCAAATTTCACCGATAAATTGACCGGTTAAATAAACCGGTAGCTGTCAAAAAATTCCGGTAAAAGTCAGATGCAAGTCCGGTTACAAGATTTTTCTGGTGCATTTTGGAACGCTTTGGTGTCAAAGTTTGGTGGTATTGCTTATTATTTTTTGGAATGGGTTTTTTTTGTGGGATGCAGTGAGGTTGGTATGTATTTTTATTATTTTTAACAGTCAACAAACGGTAGTTTTCACTTTTTAGTACGATTTTTGTAGATTATGTGAGCTGAGTATTTGATTTGTCGAGTTCATAATGACGCCCACGCACAAACATTTTTTTATTCTGCAATCTGCAAGCAGCAATTTAACGATAGACTGCCAATAGTACCCATTCAAAGCAATTAAATTAATGTACGTCAAAAAAAAGTGCCAAAAAACCTCCAACCGAAAAAACCGACAAAAATTCCCGGTGGATTCGGTGCCTCGCCGGCTTCAAACAACTGATCATTCCGGTCAATTTTGGAACGAACGATCGGGTTTCACCGGTAAAAAGTCGGTACATTTTGGAACAGTTTAGTGAGTAAACTATTAAACCGGTATCGCACCGGTTCAGAAACCGGTGAATTTTGGAAAGTGCCCACACTCTTTGTTTATGTTCGAAAAATACACGCAAGCCAATCAAAATACACGCAAATCGTGTAATTACACGCTAATTGGCAACACTGAATACGGCTTCCAATATCCTCCATTTTAAAATATAGATGAAATAACAAAACAAATTCAACAAAAAACTACAAGAAGAACCATTAGAAGAATACCATACACCTATTTACACTTTGCAATTTTAGGTTAGGAATATGAATATAAAACATGACATGCCACTGTCAAAGTTCACCACTGCCGTCTTCAACGTGTCGTTCAATAATTCCTTTTGTGAGCCAAAATAGCACCCGCCACATAATTCCCTAATGTTTATGTAATTTTAACTGTGACTCCTATATTCATTTCTCGTTTTACATAACTTTGTCTATCTGTTTTTATCAGAATTTTTATACGGCTTGACTTTTACTGAGATTGCTTCTGTATGGGCCGAATTTATAGTCGCTCCTTGAGGTTTCCTTGGACCTTAAGGAAGCCTTCAACGTTTAGAATTGACATGACTAACTTGTCAAATAGTACCAAGTGTCCATTCTAAACTCACGACCTTTAAGGCAGACTCAAGGAATGACTATAAATTCGGCCTTTATCTGCATATCTATGTTTTTATTTTGTTTTTCAATTTTGATTATTTTGAGGAACTACGATTTAAAATATATTATTCTGTAGTGTATAGGTACGATGTATTTAAGACGCCTTGAAAACGTAAGCAGACCTCGGAACATCAATGTAGTTTGTGGACATCTTCAAGATATCTATGTGCAGTCTGGGTTGAATTTCTATTTTTTCTAATTTTTTTTAAATAAAGACAATTCAAGAGCCAGGTATAAAGAAAATACTCATATTCCAATTTGTCAAGCAAGCCAAGACAAACTCAATTAAAAAGTTCTTTTAAAGCAAAAGGCAATAAAACTTTTTTTGTGGTACAGCAAAGGTGACCCTTATCCAATTTCAATGACCCTTTGCCTAATGAGTTTTCGATGTAAACTCGTGTGATGAATAACTAAGTTTAAATTAACGAACCATATCCATTAAATTCCAGATTCTCTCTTACGTGGGAAGCGGTGGACGTCTCAGCTTGTCCAGTACAAACCCTGACAGCGAAACAAGGCACAATAACAAGTCCGAATTATCCAGATTTTTTGTTAGCCCATCTAGATTGTTCTTTTATCATTCAGGCGCCGCCTGGCAAAAGGATTTGGATCGAGTTTACCGAAATCGATTTGATGAAAAGCGAAAATGTTTTGTTCGAAATGCAACTTGGCAAAAAAACGAAAAGTTTTCGTCCGTTTTTGATCGACGATCTCTTAACCGAAGGTATAAGAATTTTAAAATCCTATGGAAACATCGAGAGCGAGATTTATATCGAAGCCTTGAAGAGCTCTTAAATCTTTCACGATAAAGGAGCGCTCTAGAAATCAAGGATAATCTCGTTCTTTGTGTTTTTATTTTGATGGATTGTGAGTGTAAATATTGATTTAAGAATTATTTAGGCAACTTCATTTCGTTGGAAGAACTTCTCAAAATCAAACTACAAACGGGCAAATATCCTAAAGGCAAAGGTTTTCGTGCCTCGTACAGAACAACTGATGAAAATTCGATGGAAGAAAAAATAATTCTTTTGAAAAACGATTCTGTGGGAACCTTACTGCACCTAAACTACCCCCGACAAAGTCCGCCCTTGCAGGATTTTTTGCAACGCTTCATAGCACCACCTGGACACGTAATATCCATGGAACTACACTCGGTCCGTTTGAATCACGGAGATTGTATCGACGGCAATGGGCTTATTGAAATTTTCGATCGATACTCGGACGCGAATGGGACTTTATGGAAATTATGCTATCAAACAAACGAAGATCAGATAGGTGAAAAAACATATTTCCTATACCTTCAATGCAATATTATATTTTACAATTCTAGAAGCCGATACGCTGTTTCCTAGCCCTGCGATCCACATTCGGTCTTTTCTTAATTCGATACAGCTCAGACAAAAAAGCGGAGTTTTGGGAAACCCCCTAAATGGGACCCTTAGGGTGCTAGCGGACGAAAACTACAAGAAAAAATTGATAAATTACGGTCACAAGGACGTGGAATCGTGCAAACCGAACCCGTGTCAGAACGGAGGCAAATGTACCAACAAAAAATCGAAAAAGATTTGTCAGTGTATTGGACATTTTACTGGTAAGAATTAATTTCAACATCAAAAACAAGTCCTTAAATTATTGTAGGTTTGTTTTGTGCAATCACCCAATGCGATTTGGAACCGTGCGTTTTTGGCACGTGCGAGCTGTCTGATAACAGCTACAAGTGCCACTGTAAAACTGACTACGTGGGACCAACTTGCGAACAAAAACGTAAACCTTGCGAGGGCAATCCTTGCGAAAGTAGAGGCACTTGTATCGAAAAAGGGAATGGATTCCAGTGCCGTTGTCACGCTTGGTGGGAAGGTACTTTTAAGATTAATTTCTAGCAAATTAGAAGCTTCACAAATATATTTTTACAGGTGCAAGATGTGAAAAACGTATGCTCCACATTCCCTACAAACCCCTAAGCGAGCGAATGCTTCGAGAACCATTTTGGCTCGGTCTAATGACCGTATTCGTCGTAATGGGAGTGATTGGGTTAGTTTGGTGCGCCAAACGACATTTCCCAGAGAAAATTGAAAAACTACTAGCCGAAGATGACAATAGAAACAGAAGTATAACAATAAACCTCTAATAAACGAACATTAATATTTGATTCATAATTTTAGTTCACTCGTTGCGTAGCACGTCAGTTCGAGAGCAATTAGCAGCAGCTTCAGGAGCATCATCGACTGCTGCTTTAGCTGCGGCGACTCCATCGCCGGGTCCGGCGCCGGGACGTTCGTTGTTCGGCCGTTTGGGTATCCGCAAGCCGTCCATCCTCAGCCTGACCAGTCCACACGCCTGTTCCGGGGGCGGTTACTCGCCGGCCACCGCCCGCACTTTTAGTTTGGACGATTTACTTAAACCTCCCCCGAGACGTAAGGCAAAATGCCCTACTTGTATTTGTCTCTATTACACTTTTGCCTGTTGTCAATCTATAATCTCCGAGGGGTTAACCACTATGCTTACATATTTACAATGATTTTCATATTTGGCAATCACTGATCAATGAATCTCATAAGCAAATTGAAATAAGTTATACAGCATTGGAAAGAGCATTAAATTCTCTATAAATCCGTGTTAAATTGAGTCCGATAGCTCGAATAGTTTTTGAGTAATTGAGCCTCAAAGTTGACTTTTAGTCCAAATTTTGTCAAAAACTTCAAGCTCAATTTGCTCAAAAAATATAAATCTGGAAATATTGTAAATTACAGGCCATTTAGAACTTAATAAAATCTACAAATTCTGGAAATTTTAATGCAATTTGCTCAACGGTTACCGAGCAATAATTGAGGTTTGAATATTTTGAAATCAGAATTCAAAGGGGATAACCCTTATGAAAAATTCGATTTTTTTATTTTTCAGTTTTGCTCAATTTGGACTTTATGAATCGATAGAGCGGGTCAAAATTAGCAGAAAACAACCTTGATATCAATTCCAAATGGCCATTTTAAGTAGACGCAAAAATAAACAGAAAATCCTATTTTTGGCTCTGGAAAATTTTCAAAATCCTGACATGGTCATGAACCATGGCCGATATCTTTGGTAAATTTTGAGCAAATTGAAAATAATTATATATCATTGGAAAGAGCATTAAATTCTCTATAAGTCCGTGTAAAATTGAGTTTGATAGGTCGAATAGTTTTCGAGCAATAGAGCCTCTAAGTTGCCCCTCAGTCCAAATTTTGTCAAAAACTTCAAATTCAATTTGCTCAAAAACTATAAATCTGGGAATATTGTAAATCACAGGCCATCTAGAGCTTAATAAGAGCTACAAATGCTGAAGTTTTTAATGCAATTTGCTCATCGGTTACCGAGCAATAATTGAGGTTTGAATATTTTGAAATCAGAATTCAAAGGGGTCACCCTTATGAAAAATTCGATTTTTTTATTTTTTAGTTTTCCTCAATTTGGACTTTAGGAATCGATAGAGCGGATCAAAATTAGCGGAAAGCAACTCTGATATCAATTCCGACTGGCCATTTTTTTAGGCAGACACAAAAATAAAAAGAAAATCCTATTTTTGGCTCTAGAAAATTTTCAAAATCCTGATATGGTCATGAACCATTACCCATATCTTTGGTAAATTTTGAGCAAATTGGAAATAATTATATATCATTGGAAAGAGCATTAAATTCTCTATAAATCCGTGTTAAATTGAGTTCGATAGCTTGAATAGTTTTTGAGCAATTGAGCCTGAAAGTTGACTTTTAGTCCAAATTTTGTCAAAAACTTCAAACTCAATTTGCTCAAAAACTATAAATCTTGGAATATTGTAAATCACAGGCCATCTAGAGCTTAATAAGAGCTACAAATGCTGAAAGTTTTAATGCAATTTGCTCAACGGTTACCGAGCAATTGCGGTTTGAATATTTTGAAATCAAAATTCAAAGGGGGTACCCTTATGAAAAATTCGATTTTTTTATTTTTTAATTTTGCTCAATTTTGACTTTATGAATCGATAGAGCGGATCAAAATTAATGGAAAACAACCCTGATATCAATTCCACATTGCCATTTTAAGCAGACACAAAAATAAACAGAAAATCCTATTTTTGGCTCTGGAAAATTTTCAAAATCCTGACATGGTCATGAATCATTGCCGATATCTTTGGTAAATTTTGAGCAAATTGGAAATAATTATATATCATTGGAAAGAGCATTAAATTCTCTATAAATCTGTGTAAAATTGAGTTTGATAGCTCGAATAGTTTTTGAGCAATAGAGCCTCTAAGTTGCCGTTCAGTCCAAATTTTGTCAAAAACTTCAAATTCAATTTGCTCAAAAACTATAAATCTGGAAACATTTTAAATTACAGGCCATTCAGAACTTCATAAAATCTACAAATGCTGGAAATTTTAATGCAATTTGCTCAACGGTTACTGAGCAATTGAGGTTTGAATATTTTGAAATCAAAATTCAAAGGGGGTACCCTTATGAAAAATTCGATTTTTTTATTTTTTAATTTTGCTCAATTTTGACTTTATGAATCGATAGAGCGGGTCAAAATTAGTGGAAAACAACACTGATATCAATTCCAAATTGCCATTTTAAGCAGACACAAAAATAAACAGAAAATCCTATTTTTGGCTCTGGAAAATTTTCAAAATCCTGACATGGTCATAAACAATTGTCCATATCTATGATAAATTTTGAGCAAATTGAAAATAATTATATACCATTGGAAATAGCATTAAATTCTCTATAAATCCGTGTAAAATTGAGTTTGATAGCTCGAATAGTTTTTGAGCAATTGAGCCTCAAAGTTGACTTTTAGTCCAAATTTTGTCAAAAACTTCAAACTCAATTTGCCCAAAAACTATAAATCTGGAAATATTGTAAATTACAGGCCATTTAGAACTTAATAAAATCTACAAATTCTGGAAATTTTAATGCAATTTGCTCAACGGTTACCGAGCAATTGAGGTTTGAATATTTTGAAATCAGAATTCAAAGGGGATACCCTTATGAAAAATTCGATTTTTTTATTTTTTAGTTTTGCTCAATTTTGACTTTATGAATCGATAGAGCAGGTCAAAATTAGTGGAAAACAACACTGATATCAATTCCACATTGCCATTTTAAGCAGACACAAAAATAAACAGAAAATCCTATTTTTGGCTCTGGAAAATTTTCAAAATCCTGACATGGTCATGAACAATTGCCCATATCTTTAGTAAATTTTGAGCAAATTGAAAATAATTATATACCATTAGAAAGAGCATTAAATTCTCTATAAATCCGTGTAAAATTGAGTTTGATAGCTCGAATAGTTTTTGAGCAATAGAGCCTCTAAGTTGCCGTTCAGTCCAAATTTTGTCAAAAACTTCAAATTCAATTTGTTTAAAAACTATAAATCTGGAAATATTGTAAATTGCAGGCCATTTAGAACTTAATAAAATCTACAAATTCTGGAAATTTTAATGCAATTTGCTCAACGGTTACCGAACAATTGAGGTTTGAATATTTTGAAATTAGAATTCAAAGGTACCCTTATGAAAATTATTACTTATTGGGAAACTCGTTGGGATATCAAATTAATTTCAAATTTTCTAGCATTTGTTGCCTAAAACACAACTGACCGGTACGCTGTATCGTGTATGATATGCGATTTCTGGGTTAGAATGACATGATATTCCCAGTGATTACCACATAATTTTCAGCGATTGTCAATGGATTCCTATGGAGACTTCTAGCGATTCTTAGGTTATTCCCAAAGACTCCCAAGTGATTTCCATGTATTCCTGTGTCCCTATTCTTGAAACAGGGGAGCAGTGTTCAGGAGAACGAGTGTTCTGTCTTTCTCAATGATATGGAAATAATAATATAAGTAACGAAAACAGAACACTCGTTCTCCTGGGAGCGGTGCTCCCCTATTTCAAGAATAAGGACTCTGATTGATTACTGTGATTCCCAAAAAAATGTACCTACAATGATTTCCACTAGTGGTTTACCCCTCGATAATCTCTATTTACTTGCAAGATAGAGTTGACCAAAATAACTAAATTATGCCTCTATCTTGGAAGTAAACAAAACTCTAAAATCCTTTGTATGTACTCATTTTTTTTTATGAGAAATAAAGTCGCTGTTACTTTATTTCCTTTTTTTCTTCCAGGATAAAACTCTTAATTCTTTTCATGTAAAACCTACTATTTTTCTCTATTCTTTTTTTTTGTAGATCAAACATGTTCCCTTTCCTTCTATCACTTTGCGTGTGGCTGGTAGGTTGCACAGTACTTATTTGTAAATTGATGCGCACTTTGGCTTTAAAACAATCTATTATTTTATACAGATTCATTATACATTTCAATGAAAGTTGTATAATGAATCTACATAAAACTCGCTTTTCGCTATAGATGTCTCACGTTTCCCAAATAACTCAAAACTGACTCAAATTCTGGTTCTCTAGGTTCACCCTCTCCAAAAAAGAAACGCAACAATTCAACTCCGACTAAGAAAAACGCCGCAGATAAAAAGCAAATACTCCAACAGTTGATTTCGCCGGTCAACAAGCACTCGTCGAAACGTGTGAGTTTAGGTGAGCTAATTCAAATGAGTGAACAAAAAAGTAACGGCATACAATCAGCTCCAAGCGTTATCATTAAGGAAACTAAATTTTCTGATCCCGCTTTGACGGCTCTGAATGATCCGAAATTAGAAAAGAAAGTAACATTTGCAAGATTGCTAAATAAAGTCAGTGCCGAGATGAGCAGCGGCTCTGATATGGAAATGGGGATAATGCAAAGTACCAGGTTGGGATGTATTTTCCCTAGAGCATCCAGCACTCCGCCATCACCTAGTGTGCTCAATAGAAGCCCTAACAGCACTTCAAGCAATCAAGGTACTACTCATAAACCATATATATAGCAATTTTTGTTATTTAACACTAGATTATTTTACAGGAAGTGACTCATTTACTAGCTCAGAGCTAGCAATACCAAGCGCAGTAAGTGCCAGCATATCTGACTTACTAATAAACAGAAGACAAGGCACCGTGGGCAAACAAAAACCTGCAAGTGCTGATTCAATATTAGCCATGTTCAAAAACTTCAGCTCTAGTTCAGCCGGAGCCAATTTACCGTCTTCGTTAAAACTTTCCCCATCAACAACTCCAACTGCATCGAGCCCCCACGACGACATGGTGGGCGACGACGAGTCATCTTCATCCTCAGTTCATACTCCAGTATCGTTTTCGAGCGAGAGTCCAATACATTACAGCTACAACCAGAGCACCATCGAAGTACCAGTTCTGGATCCTCTGAGCGCAGGAAGCGGCACCAACCTGCTCTACCCTCCGACCATTCTATTAGAAATACCGAGCACAATCAACAAGTGCCTTTCGCCCATTAGAGAACTACCCACTCCGTTGCCTTCGCCCATGCCATCGCCCGCAATCACGCCTCTAATAATGCGCCGAAGTCAAAGTCCCATATTTAGACGTATGCAAATATCAGCATCCGAAGATGATATGATATCCGTGGAGATTCCTAATATATCCGTGAGCGCTAGCGAGGAGGACGAAATCCGATGTGCCGATATTGCTATCGATCCTCAAGCTGAAGACGGGTTGATTTTTGAGGAAGCTGCCGCTATGCAACACTGTGCCTTATTTAAGACAAAGGTAATCTAGTGATTGATTTCTATATTTATTTACTAATTTTCCAGCATCACTTTACATACACAATGAATTACCGATGTCTCCCAATAATGGGTCGATTAATATATATAATTATCGGTTTATAACGTTCTACGTCTTCCGATTCCCGATCTCCAACCATCTTTGTCAATCCAGGCATCCTCTTCTAAGCCTCTGTCTTTTATTTCTTCGTCTACTCCACTTCTCCGGCTTCTTCTCGGTGTGCCGCGTCTTCTTCTTCCCCCTGGCTTCCACTCAATTATTTGCTTGGGTATTCTTGTATCTGCCATTCTTTGTAAATATCCGAACCAAATCAGCTGTTTGTCCTTTATATTATCTACTATTTTGTGTTTTACGTCCATAATCTCCATAATTCTCAGATTTGTTATCCTTTCCATTTTTAACCTGCCTGCCGATCTTCTCCAAAAGTCCATTTCAGTTTGCCTTTTCTGATTTGTAGTGGCTAGACTTCTGAACTATAAGTGACTATGCTTTTGACTATGGTGTTGTATATTCTCGTTTTGTTAGTTTTGTTGATATTTTGATCCCACAGTACACCAATTAGTAGGGATATTGCCTTGCGTCCTTGTATATTCCGATCTTTAATTGCTTCGTCCAAGGTTCCCTCATGTGAGATTTTCATGCCCAAATATTTGTATTCAGTACATTGTTTTATTTCTTGTCCGTTATTCAATTTCAGAATTCGTTGTTCACCTCCAATAGTCATATATTCTGTTTTAGTTAGATTTACTTCCAAACCCCACTTCTTCTATCAGTTTTCGTGTCATGTACTCTAGGTCATCATAGTCCTGTGCAATTACTACTCGATCATCTGCAAAGCTTAAAGTATATAGACTGTATTCATTAAGCGGTATTCCCATGTGTCTGTATTTGTTTTTCCACCCTTTAAGCGCTTGTTCTAAGTATTAGGTATATTTCAAAAAGTGTTAGTGATATGCAGCATCCCTGTTTAAGTCCTTTAGTTGCTATAAAGCCTTTACTGATTAAGTTTCCCTGTTTAACCTTTGTCTTTGCATCACTATAGATAGAGCGTTAAGTTGATATTGGTCTTTTCAAATGCTTCCCAAAGCTTTTTCAGTGGAACAGTGTCGTATGCTTTCTTTAGATCTACAAAAAGTAAATGGAGTTCTTGGTTATACGCTAGTTTTTTTTCCATTACCTGGGTCAAACTAAATGGTCTACAGTTGATCTTCCTGGGTCGGTTAATTTCAAGCCTAAATGCATCGACCGATTTGGAGACCACTTAATTCGCATACCAGCTATAAAGGTGAAAGACCTCCAGAATCAAGGCTTTTATTTACGACTAATGTATAATGTACGTATTATATTTGCGATTTTGGCAGTATAATGACATATGTTATTCCTCCAGGGATTAATGACGAGTAGCGGGATTAATGGTCATTATTCCACAAAAGTGTCAGTGTCAAACGTGTAGTTCTTGTGGATTTGTATTGAAAATTATGAGACGGATGAAATTTGTTCATTGAAAATCTCAAATAAATTAATTTGTCGTAAATAAAGTAGAGTATACTACTCGCAATAATGGCTATTATTCCCTCGGAATGTTACTCCCTCGCCGCTAACGCGGCTCAGTTCGTAATAATCCTCGGGAATAATAGCTATCATTATTGACTCGTGGTATAATCTACTATTATTTACGACTAATGTCACCCGCAGGGAATAATGACGAGTAGCGGGATTAATGGTCATTATTGCTCAAAAGTGTCAGTGTCAAACGTGTAGTGCTTGTGGATTTGTATTGAAATGGATGAAATTTTCTATTAAAAATCTCAAATAAAATAATTTGTCGTAAATAAAGTAGAGTATACTACTCGCAATAATGGCTATTATTCTCTCGGAATGTAACTCCCTCGCCGCTAAGGTGGCTCAGTTCGTAAATATTCCTCGGTAGGGTTGCCAGACCTCCTATTTTTGATATGAAACTCATATATTTCAACTGTTTCTCATATCTCATATCAGCATGTTTAATATCAGACTATTTCTCATATATTTTGATCAAAAAAAAGAAACCATATAAAGTGCGACAAGTGAGTGAACCTGTGTGGAAGGAATGCGGGCATAACCCTCCTGATTGGCCCGAGATTAAATATACATATACGCGAGTCGTCGCGTCAGGGTGAACGCAATTTTCGCAATACACCACGTCGGGGACCCGTCGCGTCGCGTCGTATAGTATAGGTTTTCGTCTTCCCCTCTGCTACTTCATACGTTACCAAGGTTCACTCACTTGTCGCACTTTATATTACTACCATACACGTGATAAGTCGGAGTCTCATGCATCCGTTTTTCGACGTCATATGTCCGAAAAACCTTCTATTCAGTATTCTGGCATAATCGTATAAAAATATGTCAAAATAGGAGGTTTTTCGGACATCGGACGTCGGAAAACGGATGCATGAGACTCCGGCTATAGGATGGAGTCTCATGCGATGCGTCCTATCCGATGGAGCTCCTATTGGCTAAAAAATTTCCCGCACTTTTTATCCGAAATCCGAATATTTCCAACTTTTTTCCGACGTTGCCGAATAAATAATATTTTAACTTTTGTCGCTTTTGTACATAATAAATAAAAATAAAAGTAAAAACAGAAAAAAAAAAACAAAATTATTTTCGGTCAGGGATTTGTTTCCTGTCGGATTTAAGTATTTTACAGTACATAAAATTTTCTCATATATTATTATCCAATCTCATATAATTTTTCAAAGGCTCTCCTATTTTCAAAACTCAAGTATCTGGCAACCCTATTCCTCGGGAATAATAGCTATCATTATTGACTCGTGGTATAATCTACTATAACGCAGCTTTAATAAGCTAAAATTCAGTACCTACAGATTATTCTGACAATTACCTGACAACATAACATCATTATGTATTTAGATGGTATTTAGGTAGGTACACAACATTGAAAGACTGGACTTGATTCTTGAAGATCCAATTTATTCAAAAAAACTCCAAGCTTACCAACATTAAACTCAATCAATAACCATATAGAGGATCTTTGACAGAGACTGCCATTATTTGTCTAATTATTTTTGCCCACCACTCAACAAACATCTCACCCATCGGATCCATCGAATGATGACCAGAGATAAAATGATGACTGAAAGGATGCCGTTACGCTTACAATTAAGTGTTAAGCGCGTACATTACACATAATAGGTAAATAAATAGGAAACACGATAAATAAGGTCAGGGACGAAGCAAGTCAAAATCGGGCCCTGGTGCAAGACTACAGCGGGCCTCCTTCACCATGGGCATCGGAAGACTCAAATGTAATATACATACAGCCTTTGATAAAATGAATCACCAGAGACTGTTGGCAGAGCTTGAACTTTTCAATTTTTCATCGAATGCGTTAACCTTTTTTAACTTGTACTTAACCAACCACAAGAATTCAAACTGTTAAGATTGGTAGAAATAAGTCTGAGGTTTATGTTCCAACATCAAGTGTTCCTCAGGGCAGTAACTTAGGGCCACCACTTTTTGCGATTTTTATAAATGATTTACCTAACCATCGACGACCATTATCCGACACCTAACATTAGGCCGTTGCCAAAACTTTTCTACCCTAGGCCTCGCGAGTGGATTCCATCAGATAGAGCATCTCGACCACATAAAAAAGACCGCATTGAATGTCGAGAATGGGCATTACGAATATGTCAGAATGCCCTTCGGCCTCAAGAACGCTCCGGCCACGTTTCAAAGGTTTATGAACGGTGTCCTCAAGGGCATACAAAACCGAATATGCTTCGTATATATAGACATTATTGTCTACTCGACCTCCTTACAAGAACACATGATAAACCTATGTATTTCAACGTCACCGAATAATCCAACCCGATAAATCGGAATTCCTGAGAAGTCCAACATTCAAAATGCTTTCTCTTTGCGAATGATTTCAAGGTCTTTATAACAATCACTACAATAGAAGACTGTCACCTACTACAAGAGGTAGAGGTTGTTAAGGACATTGGAGTGCATCTCCAAATAAATTTAAAATTCAATATTCACTACGATTAAATGTTAACAACATAAAGCATAGTGATAGTGATTGCTATTTAATAAATTATAATATCATTACTTGTTCCTAAAATTGAACTATAAGCTCTATACAGGGTGTTCCGAAATTAATGCACCAAATTTTTATGGCATATTCTACGTCGGAAATAAACCCTAGTTTCCTATATAAACATATATCCGGAAACGCTTCCTTTCTGAGATAGGTACAGGGTGTCAAAATTATAAGAGAAAAACTTTTTTTCTATCATAACTTTCAAACCACTTTAGATATTTCGTTAAAATTTTGTACACTGCTTTCAAGCAGCAAACGACATTTTTTGATGTGAAATTATTTTTTTTTTTAAATTACCAGTAACGTCCGTATCAGATTTCTATGGAATATTTTTCAAGAAAAAAATGGTGCGCCACTGCTTTTTCCTAAAATAAAAATCATTTTTGAAATCCTTATTCAATTTGAAACAAATTTGATCTCTACACTTTTTTCTTAAAGATGCACCGTTTTCAAGTAAAAAAATAAAGAACCATTTTGATGCATGGTGAAATCGCCAAAATTATGATTAAAATACTAAACATTGAACACCTAAAGTTTCAAATTATTTCTGTGACGTCACTGTTTTTTTTGTTTTTTTTTTTTAAATATTTCACATCAAAAAATGTCTTTTACTGCTTGAAAGCAGTGTACGAAATTTCAATAAAATATCTAGAGTGGTTTGAGAGTTAGGATAGAAAAATAGTTATTTTCTTAGAATTTCAACACCCTGTATCTCGGAAAGGAAGCGTTTCCGGACATATGTTTATATAGGAAACTACACTTTATTTTTTCCCAAGATAGATTTTGACATTGAAAACTTTGAAACATAAACAATAACGCTTGACCCTGATTGGTGGCAAAATGAGGTGTTTCTGCAGGTTGATATCAGTTTCACAATAGCGACCAATAAGCGGCATTAGCGGCATCGTTTATGTTTCAAAGTTGACAATGCCAAAATCTATCTTGGAAAAAAATAAACTGTAGGGCTTATTTTCAATGTAGAATATGACATAAAAATTTGATGCATTAATTTCGGAACACCCTGTATATTAACAATGGATTATTCTATATGCATAAAAATAATCCTTCTATAATCACATGCGGCCTATTATCCGTTCACAATCCGATGTCCACAGGTACAGGTAAAATTTATCACCTTACAATGGTATTTGATAGGAAAAGGTGATAAATTAACCTGTACCTACCTGTGGACATCGGATTGTGAATAGGATATATGTGCAATAAGTTTCTGGATAGGAATAATATAGACATATTCAGTACTTATCTACAAACTATTAAAAATTATATTGCGCCCTATAGCAATGCATCAGTATCTTAGGAGTCTTATGTTCCTAGTTTCTAGTTTTGGTTCTTAACCTTCCTAAGCCAATCAAAAATCGGGAATATTTAAAACGTCGAAAAGTTAATTTGACCCATCTTAAGGCGGAAAAAAAATAAAAAAGGAAATATCGATTTTCCGTTACTTTGAAATCAGTTTTCATTTTAGCGAAATTAGATTTCACTAATGTGAATTTAGTTTTCAATAATTTGAAATCAAATTTCACTAGTGTGAAATAATGCTGGAAATGGTATAGTCTCTGTTATGGAAACCCAAGTTTACTTTGTTTCAGATTCGTCCTCCACCACTGGGCCAGCTCATCGACAAAAGCCCCCCATCGTCGTCTCATCCGCCTCTAGTAATACCAACCCTAACCATCGAAACGCCATCCCCGACTCGCAAAACCCCAACCCTCCTAATACCGGGCTCGCCGCCGCCTGGCCGCCCTCAGCACCAAGACACCTTCCAGTTTCCGGCGCCGGCCAAACCCAACCGTAAAATGTTTAAGGATTTTGAAAAACCCACCTCCTTGGACCTGCCTGGGGCTCCACCCCTTATAACAATCACCTGTAACATGAGCGAAGCTGAATCCGACTTGGAAAGTATATCACCTAACGTGAAACTCACGGGACACCATCATCCTCCTGGTATGACTTATCTGAGTCCGTTTTCGATGGCCCATAGAAATGAGCAGCACGCTTCCGAGTCAAATTTAAGCTCCTCTGGCTATAGTTCGATGGCAAGTCCAGGACCTTCGAGATGCGGCTCCAGTAATCCATTGTGTCCGTCTGAAATGGAGGATCCTGGCTCTGGAGGCTGCTCCAGGCGACAGTCTTTGACTCCTGTACTTAGAGGGAGCAGTCCTGCAAATAATGACTCAAAAGCTAACCAAGGCGAGCAAAGAAGAGGCAGATCAGATTCTGAAACTTTATCTGACGATCCTCTATTGGAGTCTAATGACGAAGGCATTGGCACTGATCATATAGATGAAAAAATTGATGAAGGTGAGGTGAAAAGTGCAAAGGAGCTTGAAGTTTTCATGACGGATGGTAACGAGCCTAAAATAACGTTACTAGATTTACCAATTCCACGTGTAGCTAAATGTATAAGTATAGAGAGCTCTATGGATAGGCTAATAGCCCCTCTGACTAGCTCTAGCAGCAAAAACTCTTTACAATTGCCTTCAATTGTGCTGCAACTCGACTCTGCTAATGGTGAAAAATATTTGAGTCCAATGAGCTCGCGTAGTGAAAGCCCTCTAAGCGATCGTACTACTGGTATGGGAAGGTTTTCGCCATTGTTTTATAGTAAAAACAAGGATTTGCTACCATTCACCGACTCGGACGGGCTGTACGATTTTCCTAGCAGCGACAAAGTCAACGTAACAAACTACCAACACAAAAAGGTGGGCAGAAAACGTGAAAAACGTACCTTGAGAGCCAAAACACCCAGTCCTACTAAGCAAAGTTTAGCTTGGTACAATCATTTGGACGTTCCTAGTAATAAAGATGCATACTACAAGGTACCGCCTCCAAGGAAATTGAGTCCTAAACGTAGACTGGCTCGTACTCAAGTGGTTAGTTCATCTTCGAGTTCCGAAAGTATTACTTCAACAAGGGAACTACGACACTCTTCTTCGAGTCCCAGTCCCGATACTATTCGATGGATGGATGGTAAACATCCTAGGTCATTGGATATGTTAGCTGAAGACAAGGTATATCAAGTGTATGTTAGAATGTAATTAAACTGACCTAATTTTGTAGGATGACTCCAATCCTAGTACTCCAATGTTATCCAGATCATTGGAGTTCACTAAGAATCAGCCAAAGTATCAAAAAGTTAGCAGGCTCAAGGCGATTAGTAATCAAATCAGGTGAGTACGAAACTTGATAATTTCATTTAAGTTAATTTTGTCAAACCAGATTCCTGCGTAGACTGGAACAAAGTTTGAAGAAACGCGAACGTACTGCCAGTCCGGGTTCCGATAGTTTCGACAGCGGAGACGAATCTCCGATGCTTGCGACTTCGCCATTGTTGCAACCGTCGAAAACCGTGGAAATTCGAAAAAGTACCAGCATGAGCGGCAAGTTGCAGCAACCTGGGAACCACCGCGGTACGAAGTACAAACAGTGGGATTCGTTGCAGGAACGGACCTGGCCGAAAGAGTTGGGGATGAAGAGTGGTAATTCGGAATAAGGAATCATTGATGTGTAAACGCTCAACAATCACTCATTATTTTTTTTTTTTGTTAAATACAAGTTGGTTCATCTTGTTCTCATCATATTTTGCATGTGATTTTTAAATGTAAATCGTCCATTTGTTGTTCATAAAGTCATTTGTAAATTATTATATATACATCGAGGAGGATAATATTTAAAAAAAAAAAAAAAACATTATTATAATATTAGCTGTGGTATAATGATGTCGGATTGATTCGATCCAATCGTCTATAAGCAGCTCGAAAAAAGGCTTGTAAATGAGACTGATTTTCTACTCAAACACTATTTAAGTGACTTTGTTCTTATTGTATATGATATAAAATAGCGAGTTAACCAATTTCTCTATGTATAGATGCCCTAAAAGAAAATGCACTTTATATCTCTGTTAAAACTGTTGTAACTTTTTTAATCCTCACTTGGGAACCTTTACTGAAAAATAACTGCTTAAAATATTATCTTTTGAACTTTAATTTCCTATAAATCATCCTGCCAATTACTTTCTTATATCTATTCTTAATTAATTTGACTCGATAGCTCTACAAAAGTCTTTAGATTTTGCCTAAAGGAAATTTTCGACACACACCAATAGGAAATTGCTGTATAGAGTCAGTTTGTAGAGCTATTCAGGGCCTTAAAGTCATATACGGGTATCGGATTTTAAATTCCCTCCTAACTCTTTTTGATACCACTGTGATAAGTCTTCTGGAAAATACTCGTTTCAGAATTTTATTCTTCAGCAATATAATATTTAACTAAGTATAAAATTAGTGGGAGCAACTTAAAAATCGTATTATACGAGGCACAAGATAAGCAATCTTATATTCACTATATTGTAATCTTTGCACTGTTTTAAAAAGAAATATTTATTAATATTTGAAGGGCCTTTTTTTTTCTACAAACAAGCCAATTCTGTGATGAAAAATTGAAAAAGACCCTTTGAAAATTCTTGTTGTTGTTTTATATTAAAAAAATAAAAGATTCCTAAATAGTTGTGTGAGTTGTAATAATATTTTCCTTTTGCTATTATTTATTGTAACCCTATAAATATAAGATTTTATTATAAATAAATAAACATAATAGTGAAAATATCAATTGGGTTTTTATTTAAATAAATTTTTAAACATTATAATTTACTAAGTCTAATAAGCATATAATATTGACATTACATTTAATTTTCTTCATCGGAGCTAAGCAACATGGTCTTTTCTGTGTAATTTTGAGAAATGGTGGACACTTTTGAGTTGACGCTCAGAGGAGGCTTGGGCGGATTGTCCAAGCTGTTGTAGGAATGAGGCACCGTGCCTCCGCTAGGGCTCATCGGATCGTCCGGGTCGTACTGAGACAAGCGGATGCCTCTACCATTTTTACCACCTGAATTTATTGATAAATCAAAAGCTTAGTAATTCAGTATTAAACTCTATACATTATTCCAGACAGCACACAAAGTCTTAAAGATATCTTTTTTAGGTCTGCATTGCGTCTGAACGTCTGAAAACCAAAAAAAGACACCTAGAAGACGCTGTTTTGAAGATGTGAATTCATATCTTAGACAATTATTTGATACAACCAAGACTGAAAGTGGATCGCGACTCCCCTCTGTGTTATCCTTTTTCTTTACCCCGACTCAAACGCTGTCTAAAAGTGGTATGAGGGGGGATAGTTTTTCAGAAGTTTCACTTCTATCACATGTACGGCGCTGCACATTTTTTTTTTTTGCATCAGGATCGGCGGCGGCGACATTTGGACAGTTCAAAACACTTAAAATTTAATTCAGAATTTCCAAAAGCATTCTGTAGCGCTTCAGAACATTTTGGAAACTTCAGAACCATTATTCTGCTCCAAAACATTCAAAAACCAATTTCCAAAAGCATCAAAAGTTACAAAAATTACAGAAGGCGTTCAAGAGCAAATTTAATTTGCTGTAGAACTTCAAACCGTTAATAAGTATCCAAAATATGTAGTTCAATTACAAATCAGATTTTTCAGGAGCATTTTGGGGCAGTTTAGAAACTTCATAGTTATTTCCATAGGCGCAACTAGGGGAGTGCTTCGGGGTGCTAATCACCCCTAAAGCAAAAATTAGCACTCCCATTCGGCATTCCACCATAGCACTACCTACAGTAGCACTACCTAACACTAATATAAAAAATTAGTGGAACCAAATTATTTATTTTTTTTGCACTTTTTGTGCTAACTTTCTTCATCGATGACGTCATATTTTACAAAAAAGTATTTGTCGTTGATTAATTCATAGAACACGTTCGCAATTATTATTGTTTTGGAAAAAAACATTTCAACCGGGGTCGGTATTACAATATTACCTTAAAATCAAGACTTACCCTAAAATATACGGTTTTTATGTTTGTTTATTTTATATCTTAAGGTGACAATGAAATACTGGCCTTTAAAAAATCATTGGAGTTCCAAATATATAAATTAATCAACTGCATATTATACAGGGTGTTTCTAAATATCATGTACAAACGGTAAAGGGTAGGTAATTCTTTATTTTTTTTGTATGACTGAAATCTCAAATATGTTCTAAAAAATTGACTTATATTTATGCAAAACTAGAAAAAATTCACCCTCTTACATTTTAATTTTTTTCTAGAAAACTGGCAAAGGGAAAATTTTTGAAAATTTTTCAGGAATAAAAAGAAAATGAGGAGCTCATTTTGAAAAATCACTCCAGGAAAAATTTTGAAAAACTAACTTTTTTAAGCAAAATTAAGGAGAATTCACCCTCTTACATTTTAATTTTTTTCTAGAAATCTGGCAAAGGGAAAATTGTGAAATTTTTCCAGGAGAAAGAGAAAAATAAAGAGCTCATTATAACAAAATTTTAAAATTTTCGAATGAAAAATCACTCCATAAAAAATTTTGGAAAATTGATTTAATTGAGCAAAATTAAGGAAAATTCACCCTCTTACATTTTAATTTTTTTTTGGAAAACTGGCAGAGGGAAAATTTTGAAAATTTTCCAAGAAAAAGAGGAGAGTGAGGAGCTGATTATAGGGAAATTTCGAAATTTTCCAGTAGGAAATCAGTCCAGGGAAAATTCTGGAAAATTGACGTTTTCAAGTAAAATTAAAGAAAATTCATCCTCTCATATTTCAATTTTTTTCTAGAAAACTGGCAAATGAGGAAAAAAAGGAAAGTCAGGAGCTCATTATAAGAACATTTCAAAATTTTCCAATGGAAAATCGCTCCAGAAAAAATTCTGAAAAAATGAGTTTTTCAAGTAAAATTAAGAAAAACTCATCCTTTCACATTTCAATTTATTTCTGGAAAACTAATAAAGCAAAACTTGTGAAATTTTTCCAGGAGAAAGAAGAAAATGAGGAGCTCGTTATAGGAAAATTTCACAATTTTCTAGGAAAAATCACTTCAAGGTAAGTCGAGAGAAAAGTTCTGGAAAATTGACTTTTTTAAGCAAAATTCATTCTTTCACATTTTAATTTTTTTCTGGAGAACTGGCAAAGTAAAAATTGTGGAATTTTTCCAAAAGAAAAAGGAATGTGAGGAGCTCATTATAGGAAAATTTCAAAATTTTCCAGTGAAAAATCATTCCACGAAAAATTCTGAAAAAATGACTTTTTCAAGTAAAATTAAAGAAAATTCACCTCTTACATTTTAATTTTTTTCTGGAAAACTGGCAAAGGGAAAATTTTTGAAAATTTTTCAGGAATAAGAAAATGAGGAGCTCATTTTACGAAAATTTCAAAATTTTCCAGTGAAAAATCATTCCAGGAAAAATTTTGAAAAACTAACTTTTTTAAGCAAAATTAAGGAGAATTCACCCTTTTACATTTTAATTTTTTTCTAGAAATCTGGTAAAGGGAAAATTGTGAAATTTTTCCAGAAGAAAGAAAAAAGTGGGGAGCTCATTATAGGAAAATTTCAAAATTTTCCAGTTGAAAATCACTCCAGGAAAAATTCTGGGAAATTGACTGTTTCAGGCAAAATTCACCCTCTTACATTTTATTTATTTTTTTGTGAAACTGGCAAAAGGAAAATTGTGAACATTTTCCAGAAAAAAGAGGAAAGTAAAGAGCTCATTATAGCAAAATTTTCCAATGAAAAATCACTCCATAAAAAATTCTGGAAAATTGACTTATTTAAGCAAAATTAAGGAAAATTCACCTCTTACATTTTAATTTTTTTCTGGAAAACTGGCAGAGGGAAAACTTTGAAAATTTTCCAGGAAAAATAAGAAAATCAGGAGCCCATTAGGAAAATTTCGAAATTTTCCAGTGAGCAATCACTCCAGGGAAAATTCTGAAAAATTGACTTTTTCAAGTAAAATTAAGAAAAATTCACCCTCTTACATTTTAATTTTTTTCTGGAAAAATGGCAGAGGGAAAACTTTGAAAATTTTCCAGGGAAAAGAGGAAAGTGAGGAGCTCATTATAGGGAAAGGACCCCGCACACCTCTTATGGGTTTTTGGTTTTCTGTCAAACTCAATGACATTTTGATATGTGTTAGACCTTGACTTCCTGATAAAAAGTTCTCATGGGCCCGAACCAATCCTATGATTAGTTTTTGAGATACAGGTACTTTAATATCCAAGAAATGTGTACATTTTATATGCATTCACATCTCCCTGTCACATATAGTCCCCAGTACATCGATCTTGAAATTTTGTAACTCATGTACACGCCCAACTTCCTGAGCGGCTTCATAACACCAAGTCGGACAATATTTTTCATGTCTCCACCCTGAGCGATGGGACATTGCTGCGCTAGCTCTTCGTGAAGTTGTCGTTCTGACGTCCCTAAGGAAGTTGATACATGTACGTGTAGTTTCAATGCCAATCGATTGTTTTTTACATTACATTAACGATATCACATTTGTCGGACAAAAACCATGCGGCTGAGCATAGTTGCGCTTATGGTTATTTCAAAACAATTTGAAACTGGAAACCTTTTAGAACTGTTCTGAACCAATTTAGAACACTTTGAAACTTTAATAGAACTCTAAAATCGGTCAGAGTCAGAACAATTTTCAAATAATTGAAAAACTGAAATGCTCCCGAACTCTTCATGTCAAGTTAGAAGAACGTCAATAAGCCATTTAGAACCCAGCAGCATTTTGAAAAGCTTCAGAGCATTTTTTAAAAACTTCAGAATTATTTCAGAGAACCTAGCGCCTGGAATAGACAAAAATTGAAAGTTATAAAATAATCAATAATAGGGGAATATTGGTAAGAAAATGTTTCTTAGGAACATCTTTAAGATGCTGTGTGCTCTCTGGTTAACAACCCTAGTGGAGCTTTCAAGAGTAAACTTGAAGATTTTTCTATGGACTCTCCACAATATTGCATATAGCAAGGACTTATTGACTGTTCCCATCCTTCAGAAGTTAAAATTGGGGGGAAAGATTTTTTAGAAATCCAACAAACTTTGAATTTTTCGAGAAGTTTTCAGAAGCAAAATTGAAGATTTTTTCATGAACTTTCCACGATTTTGTATACAGGAAGCAGCTCATTTGATCCTTAAAAATTTAAATTTGCAGAAAATGTTTTTTGGACAATCTTAGATTCAAATACAGTTATAGTAGCAAAAAAAAAAAACAAAACTTATGTTACACCAAAAAGCCATTTATTAAAAAAAAAAAGAAAAAGGTACATAAAAGAATAAACTAAGAATAAAATACTATAATAATACTATATACAAAATATAAACATTAATTAAGGCCTCTGTTATTTTTTTTTGAGCATGCTTAGAGCCAAATTATGGACCGACTAGTAACTTTTTTGGCAAATTTACCCCAAGGGGTTTTTTATCTTGTTACAAATCACTGGTTAATCAATATCAGGTAAATATTATTGCCGAGTTCGTTTTTGTCATCTTTTTCGTCGATTTGCTCCAAAATTTTGACAGACACGTGACTGGATAAGACAGTTTCAATTTACAAATCAAGTGCCTGTCAAAATTTCAGAGCAAATTGACGAAAAAGATGACAAAAAAGAACTCGGCCTATATCAATAGTGTCAATACAATGCAATAGATATAGGATTTTTACGCTATATTTAGGATGCTGCCAATGTAACAAAACTGAAAGTATATTTATCGCATTTAAAGTAAGGGAATTTTGGATGTTTTTGGTTTTTGGACGTTGCATGACTTGTATAAACATTTTCATTTCGTTATTTTTAGCTGTCGTCCAGAGATAAATACTATATAAACTGTCGAGAATGGAATCTCAGTGTAAATTTTGTTGTCAACAAAAATGAGCCATGCCAGCGCCATCTACCATATCGGAAAATCACTATTCACTGGTTTTGCATCGATGCTACAGACACCTACTTTATATAGGACATTTTATGATAGATGGCGCCCTGTTCGCATTACTGTCGGTCTGTTCAAATTCGTTTATTCTAGACTTTGGGGCATTAATGTTTGCTTAAATTAATTGATAATTTGTTAATTAGATCAAAAGACAGTTTCTTTATTGATGGTTAAGGGTATCCTTAACATATTTTTTCAAAGTTCTGATTGATGTTTAATTGAACCTGTCATTTATCTAATCAACAAAGATAAAAATAGATCTTCCAATCTATAAAGTTTGAAGTTCTTCTTGAAACACACAAAACAACTTTGAAATCACTTAAGAACACTTGACAACACAAAGAAAGATGAAATGCAAGACCGACGAACAAAAAACATTATGAATTATTAGTTATGATCAAATGAATATTTTGGCATATTGTCATATGTTGACATGTCAGTTATTGACACATGACATTCTGGTGAATTATAAGAAAAAAAAAATAGACATTGACAACATTGTCAGTTCATGTTTGATGACGTCATCCTAAATATAACATTAAAAACCTATATCTACTTGTTAATTATGTAGGTAATATGTCAATACTTGTAGATATCTAGGCAATATATGTTAATGTCATTGGGTTCATACCCATTAATAACATGTAAATACTTGTGGGTATGTCAATACCTAAAATTCTGGCAAGACAAATATTTGATTCTAGTCTGTCAATAGCATGGCAATACCTGGTAATATGTGATAATGTTAGGAAAATACCTGGCAATATGTGGAAATATTTTGTCAATACATGGAAATGGTTGGCAATAACTTGTTAGGTACATAGAAATATCTGTTAAAACATGGAAATATCTCAGTTAGTACTGTTATTCAGTGTAGAAATTTTGTTAGGTGAAAAACCCCTCGATTTACCCTAACGTCGGTCTATAATTTGGCTCTTGAAGGTACTCATTCTCTGTCATGCTTGAATGAGTAGTCATGCATTCTGTTATAAATGACAATGAAGGCAAAATTTACTCAAAAAAAAGGCCATAGCCAATTAGCTAAAACTAAATGATATCAATAATACTAATTAATCTAAGTACTGTAGCAAATATGGGCAAAAATATTATGGTCGGGTAAATTAGCTGGCACAATTAAATTATTAATAAATATTTTAGTCAAAAAGAGTGTCACTAAAATGTCTAAATAACAATAAGTCTAAATAGAATTTTGATTTTTTTGGAGTGCTATCACAATTTTATTTTTAATTGCGTACAAACTTGCTTATTATTGTCAGTCTATTTTAAACTTTCCTATAAAGTCATTTGATTGTATTTGAAAGTAAAAAATAGTCCCTGAGTCAAAAAAAAAAATAATACTAAACTAACAAGGAAAACGTTTTCAGCCTGACATCCATGCACGAAATCATCATAGTTTCTCGTAAGGCTGGTGTGATATGACATCTGCAAAAAGCATGCAATAATGGATTTACAGGCAAACAATCAAGCAAAAAATTAACGTGCGAAATCACTTCTTACCCGAACTGTACTGCGTATATTGCTGATACTGAGGATGGAAATTGTGAATAGCATCAGTCATAATATCTTTCGGGTTCATCGTCTCTTTGAGGCTACTGGAAATGCTTTGCATAGTGACGGAACGGCCTCTGGAGTCGGTGACGCAGCCTTGCACATAAACCCTGTGCGGAAACGCATACCGCAACGCGATGGCCGCACAAAACATCTCAATGCAAATCAAAAAGTTTTGATAACCCGCTGAAACGGTACCAGCAGAAGTACGAGTACCGCTACCATCAATATACGGCGATATTATGTCGGCTTTTTCTAAAATTGCTAAACCAACACCTGAAAAAAAATTGTGGAATACAATATTGTGTCTAATTGAAATACACAAAGACTTACCTTGCCAGAAAGATAAGAAAATGACAGATTTGACTGTGCAAAATTTAAGTACAGGCTCGAACGGAGTCAAAAGGTCCCGCGTAGCGAAATAGAACAGGAACAGTCCGTATAAGGCAAGCGACACAGATATATTGTAGATTATTGTGATGTAAATGTAACCACCGTCAGGACTAAAACATAAATAATATTTCCATCAAGATTCAAGAATAAACTTTCTTTTGGACAAAAGTTCTTACCTCCAATCACCATCATGGTAATGTCCAAACGATTGTAAAAATATAATAACGAAAGCCATCAGAGGTTTGATCAAGCAAAATTGTAGAGTAGCTTGTTTGCAAAACCTCAAAAACCCAATTGTGTACGTTTTGCCTTGCAAACAGCAAGTGCCAAACATGCAGCTGGACCTTATTGGTTTGCCGCGTATTTCGGACATTATGTTACCCTCCCCTCCTAGATACTCATAGCACAGCGACAAGAAATTGTAGATTACAAAGGCTAGAAATGGGATTTGTTAGTTTTGGTTGAGGTTTCTCAAGGTTTCTACCTTCATAACAATCTCTGACAGTGAAAAAGTAGACATAGTAGCTTTCAGAGTTGAAAAACAACAAGCTTATCCACGAATAAGTGGCGTATATTGGTACGATAAATAGAATTCGAACTATCCATCTTTGTTCTGCTGGGTTTGTGTACCATCTTAGATGATGATAGATCTAAAATGAACACTCATTAACATTTAAAACATTTAAGTCAAGATGAGAAAAGAGAAAGTAAATACAATATGTATAATAATTACATCAGCAGCATCCTTTTACTAGATTATACAATAAAGAAGTTGCTATCAAAAACATTATAAAGTACACCTTTTGTCAAATTAAGATAACACATTTTATCTGCTTAAACTAAAATGAGTCACGCCCAAAAAACAATTAGGAAAACAAATATTTTTATTTAAAAAACTACATTAAACAAGTAAAGAAGCGTACAAAGACCTCGAACTAAAAGGTGAAAAACGTGATTCTCTTCTAAGCAATGTAAAGTTCACTTACCTGTGAACAGGTAACGAACAAGGCGGCCCAAACAAAAAATCCGGCCACCGCTTGAGTAAGTTTTGTTTGCAGGAAAATCGGTTCTGAGGGTTTTGAGTGGACCTGATCGGATTCTGATGCCGCTGCTACTACTGCTACTGTGCTGGTCAGGTTACCTACGAAAGCTGCGGCTACGGAGGCCACTGTCGACGTCATTATTTGAGACCAGAGACTAGTTCTGTATATTATCTGGAATAAAATAATTAAAAAATACAAATCAGAAAAAAAAAGTTGGGTATAGAAATGTGTTTGAATGAGAAACTGCAGAAATTATTAGTATTTTCCTCGTATTTTCTTATGTCCGACATCTTATTCATGACCATGTAAGTCAAGGTGAAATAATTTTTTTCTCTGTCTGTCTATTCCAGGCCCTTGAGTCTTGAATTTTCTTTATTTTTCTACTATTCTCTGCGGTTTTCGTTTTTTTTTTTAATTATCACTTATTTTTAAAAGTGACCAGTTTTGAAAAACGCTTTCAAAAGAGGATGTTGCATACTGCTGTGAATAACTATTTAGAGCCAAATTATGGACCAACTGGTAAGTGTCTGGTCGTTACCTAGCAGGTACTTTCTGTTTTCTACATAGTGCATAGAAAGTACCTGCTAAGTAACAACCAGACGTTTACCAGTCAGTCCATAATTTGGCCCTTAGACATGTTATTTGACAGCCAACTCAAATGGACAACACAGATAAATAGCAGTATAATGGCCATTTGCACCAACCGTTTTAAGGCAGACTTAACGATAAGTTCACCTTAAAATGACATTTTTACATGTAAAAATGTCACTTTAAGACAAACTTATCGTTAAGCCTTTCTTAAAATGGTCGGTGCAATTGGCCTTAAATAAAGTGGAAAAGGGATTAAACATTATGAGATCACTTACAAGAGTATGGTGGGGATCGGGGATCCGATCCAAAAGTATCACTAATAATATATAAAGGAGTTGTTCTATCACATCTAGAATATGGTATATTATGCATTTTCAAAACATCAAAGGCAAACTGGAATAAGATAAATAACATTCAATGCCAGACATTACGGACAATTACAGGATGTATGGGGAAATGCCACTAGACCTTCGTAGGATTTGGTTAGCTGCTTAATTTTCGTCTAAATAATAGCCCTAAACAATGATAAAATAGAACGACAATTACTCAACTTCAACCATATTTATAATGAAGACTGGCAAAAAAACCAACACCAGCAATAATGGAGGGATTTGATTATAGACATTTTGTTCAAAAACACAAAACTACCATGTTATGACTTTCAATACGACATTTAAACCAAAAGAATTCAATTCACAAAAACAAATTTGTTCAAAAACAGTAATAACAGCAAATAATTCACATTGCTGCAACTGAACTAGATGGCCTCAATATAGCATTTATGAATACTTCAGGGGATCCCCAAAATTTGGCATGTGGTATATTGTAGAGAAAATAACACAAACATCTATAGAAGACTAAGGGACAAGACATCAATTTGCACAGCAGAAACGCTAGGTATCCGGGAAACAGTATGAAACATACTAAAGGTTTGGCTTTAGCATCAGACTCACTGAGTGCACTACAGGCTATTGCGAAGATGGAAATATATAGAGAAAGTGACTATATTACCCTGAGTACAAGTCAAGAACTTTTGACCGCTAATGAGTAATGGCAATATTAAACTAATGTGGATACCATCACATACAAGTATAGGAAGAAATGAGATTGCTGACAGTCTGGCGTTAAAAGGAAGAAGTTTACCAAATATAAGTAAACACAAGGAGTAAACCACCATCCCAGAATTAGTGCTCACAATTCCTCAAAGGGGAATTTTTTACGCATAATTCCTCAAAATTCCTTCAAATTCTTCAAAATTCCTCTAGATACTCCATCACAAATTCCTCCAAATAACCTACCACGAACTTCTCCAAATACCCCACAAATTCCTCTAAAAAAAGGAGAATTTTGAAACTTTTTGCATGTAAAGAGGAAGGTGAAAAGATCATTTTCCCAAAATTTAAAATTTTTCCACTGGAAAACAGCAACATGAAAAATATTGGAAATCAACCTACACAAACTGAATTAGTTGAAAATACAGTCTCCCACATTTTAGAGTTTTCCTGGAAAACTAGTGAAAGGAAAATTTTGAAACTTTTTGCATGCAAAGAGGAAGGTGAGAAGCTCATTTTCCCAAAATTTCAAATTTTTCCAGTAGAAAACATCAACATACAAAATCTTGGAAATCAACCTACAAAAACTGAATTAGTGAAAAACACAGTCTCACATAGGGTTACCGACCCTCCCGATTTAGGCGGAAGCTCGGGCGGGAGTCTCCCGCTTTTTCACTAAACCTCTCGCCTCCCGCGCACTTAAACAAAACTCCCGCTTTTCCCAAAAATAGAAATTACATGAAATATACCTAATTCTGAATTAGATGTTCTTATTTATTTTTACTATAATTTTAATACTTCATTATAATCTGGCAATCCAACGCAACTGGGGAGCCTTACGATTAACGTCGAGTGGTGGGCGCACTTTGATACTTTGATAATATTATTTGCATTTTTCTTTATTTCCAATTCCAAATGAAGACAGAACTACTCAAGCCTGAGATCTTGGGCATCTAATCTGAACTGAAGGTATTGTATTGTGACGGTGACTGTAGATTGTAAAGGGGGTTCCAAGAATTCCTTGCCAAGCTCCACTTTATTTAAGCCAGATTTGGTTGACTTGACACGGTCCAAGTATACTACTTGGGCTCGTATTCTGGTAACTGAAAAACAGCGCTCTCAGGGAACGATTGCTCTTTGTCTTTGTCAGTATTATGGAAATAACAATATGGACTCGGGCTACGAAAATACAGGCCTTGGAGTCTTGGACGCTGCGCACGACTCACTTGGACGATACTTGGATCGTAATAACTGTTTATCTAAGTCCAGGATAGGTCCTAACATTCAAGTAAGTAGGCTGGCTGCCAACTCACTTCACTTGGTCCAATTATAAGTTGTCTAGTCTAGTGGCTCTAGTGCCGACAAAACTTTTCCTCTTGTAATAACTTTTATTGGTAAGTCGATATAATTTTCGAATTTGTCTTAAATATAAGATTTTCTTCAAATTGCACCACTGGTTTCAGAGATAATGGACCTTCCCGTTACTTTTCGTACACTTTGTATATGATAAAATGTGACAAAATTAGGAATTAGGGCGTGGCACTTCAAACAAATTTTCGCCTGCGTCGAAACATTATTTTTCGCTCCCATTCACTACCTCCCGCTTTTTAATTTTGACAATCTGGCAACCCTAGACTCACACATTTAGAGGTTTTCCTGGAAAACTAGTGAAGGGAGAAATTTGAAACTTTTTGCATGTAAAGAGAAAGGATAGAAGCTCATTTTCCCAGAACTTAAAATTTCTCCAGCAAAAAATTATAACATGAGGAATCTTGGAAATCAACCTACAATAACTGAATTAGTTGAAAAAATAGTCTAACATATTTCCTCGCATATTTCAAAGTTTTCCTGGAAAACTAGAAGAGGGAAAATTTTGAAACTTTTTGCATGTAAAGAGAAAGGTTAGAAGCTCATTTTGCCAGAATTTTAAATTTCTCCAGTAAAAAATTACAACATGAGGAATCTTAGAAATCAACCTACAATAACTGAATTAGTTGAAAATACAGTCTCACATATTTCAAAGTTTTCCTGGAAAACTAGAAAAGGGAAAATTTTGAAACTTTTTGCATTTGAAGAGGAAGGTGAGAATATCATTTTCCCAAAATTTCAAATTTTTCCAGTGGAAAACAGCAACATGAAAAATCTTGGAAATCAACCCACACAAACTGAATTAGTTGAAAATACAGTCTCCCACATCTCAAAGTTTTCCTGGAAAACTAGTGAAGGGAAAATTTTGAAGCTTTTCACATGTCAAGAGGAAGGTGAGAAGCTCATTTACCCAAAATTTCAAATTTTTCCAGTAGAAAACAGCAACATGAAAAATCTTGGAAATCAACTTACAAAAACTGAATTAGTGGAAAATACAGTCTCACAAGCTCGATGGTCTCACACATTTTAAAGTTTTCCTGGAAAACTAGTGAAGGGAAAAATTTGAAACTTTTTGCATGTAAAAAGAAAGATAATGCCCGTATTATATCTGTGTATTTTTCCGTCTATTTATTCATGTAGTTCAGGGTGCCAACATTATTTTGTTTTTCATAATGCTGATTTATGTTGCGTTTGAAGTTTTTTGGATGTCACCCTGAGCTACATGAATAAATACACGGAAAAATACACAAATGTAATACGGGCATTAGAAGCTCATTTTCCCCGAATTTCAAATTTCTCCAGTAAAAAATTACAACATGAGGAATCTTGGAAATCAACCTACAATAACTGAATTAGTTGAAAATACAGTCTCACATATTTCAAAGTTTTACTGGAAAACTAGAAGAGAAAAAATTTTGAAACTTTTTTCATGTAAAGAGAAAGGTTAGAACTCGGGTTAGAAGCACATTTTGCCAGAATTTTCAAATTTCTCCAGTAAAAAATTACAACATGAGGAATCTTGGAAAACAACCTACAGTAACCGAATTAGTTGAAACTACAGTCTCACATATTTTAATGTTCTCCTGGAAAACTAGAAAAGGGAAAATTTTGAAACTTTTTGCATGTGAAGAGGAAGGTGAGAACATCATTTTCCCAAAATTTCAAATTTTTCCAGTGGAAAACAGCAACATGAAAAATCTTAGAAATCAACTCACACAAACTGAATTAGTTGAAAATACAGTCTTCCAAATTTCAAATTTTTTCTGGAAAACTAGTGAATGGAAAATTTTGAAACTTTTTGCATGTAAAGAGGAAGGTGAGAAGCTCATTTTCCCAAAATTTCAAATTTTTCCAGTAGAAAACAACAACATGAAAAATCTTGGAAATCAGCCTACAAAAACTGTATTCATCATTGATTGAAAATGGACAATATTATGGAGGACATGGGTATCACTCAGACATACTAACCAGTACATCTTTCATAGTTAAACCAAATTAGGCGGTGGGTTCTTTATTTTTTGTTTTATTCCAAGCTCTTGAATTTTCATTTTGTTTCATTTAACATTCAAGAGCCTGGCACAAACAGATTTTAAAAAACCAAGAAATCGATATAAAAATAATACAAAAAGAAGGAAAATCCCCAACGCTGATGATTGATATAATCAAATCCGGATACCAGATTCACCTGTAATTTTATAGATAAAGGAATTGGAGAAGATTTAACAGGAATATATAGGCAATTTAAGGAATTAATTGTTATTTATACACCAAGTGAGTTAAATGAATGTTTATTCATGAGAAGAAAGTTTAACCCACGAGCTCTAGTGAGTGGTTTAATTTTCTTCGAATGAATAAACATTTCAACTCACGTGATGTACCTATACAAAATTTTATCACATTTTGTGGAAATTTAGAAAATAAAGTACAAGAAAAAATGCTGGGAGTGAGTTAAAAATATTTTAAATCACTGAGGTTTTAGATTTTTAGTTGGACAGAGTGACTTAAAATGCCGAGAGTGAGTTAAAATGTTTTTAAATCACTGAGGTGATAAACGTCTATTTACTTTTTAGGTTATGCGTTCAATAATCAGGCCTATGATGTATCATTCTCTGTTATTTCAACAGCCACGTTATCTGTCACTGTTTATTCTATACGTCAAAATAGAGACAGCAATAGATGTTGAGCCATAACACAGCCGTTAAAATAACAGGACCGGATACATCATAGGCCTGAATGTCATTTTTAAACGTCAAAATGGGATAAAATACAATACATATTTTTATTTGTCACTCATTTGTAAAACGTCACTTATCAAGTCAAAACATAAACAATGAAAATTGATTTTTACAAGCTACTTGCTCTACTGACTTGTAAAATTGACAGCTAAACTGTAAAAACTTTTTACAAGTCAGTAGAATTATTTATTTTTAAAAAATCAGTTTTATCACAAGAATAATTGCTTGTAGGTACCTTCTGGTAGACTTTTCTGGTGGTAAACTATTAGCTACGACTGTAGCTTCATTAATATCATCTAGCACATTCATTTCTGGAAAAAAATTGCAAAAAATGGAAATCTGTCAGTAAAGCTATTTTTAACTAGAAACAACGACATAACAACATCTCATTCTCATAGGTATACCAACTACCAACTTGTATCAGAAAAAATTAAGGAAAAACGTATAAATTTCAAAATTTTGTTATGTATTAATTTTTTATTTGTCCCTATATCTTTTACAAATGAGTAACAAATAAATTATTGTACATTATACGCCAGGTAGCAGTTTTTACTGGCTCTTGAAGGTGACAAGCTCGCCTGACGGCTCGCTAGTCATTTCCTTCAATTGCCAGTAAAAATTGTTTTACCTGGCTAATAATGTAAAATACTATTAATAGGTTGCCTGGTAATGGGAAACCAATGATGTCATATGGGGTGCCTTATGGAGATTTGCAATATGTGTAGGTACCCCAGATGACACCATAAAAGTTATCAGGCAACCTACCTCTTTCTCTAAGTAGTGAGGCCCTATTTATTCATCTTCTCATAAACTGTCACTCTGATGGATAAAAATACAATATTTTAGGGAGGGCATTATCAAACTATTTTGACAAATCAAATAACTGAAAGCTTGACTGAAAGTTAACTTCTGGAATGACTATGAGGTGTGACCAATGAACTATAGTCAAAAACTGGAATGCGCACACATTGCCATATCTGCCAAAAAAATGTAGCCATGAAAGACAGATGCCACAAAGGGGAATGTTGTTTTTTTCTGTTGCTCGCTGACACATGACGTTTTGGAAAGTTTTGTCATATTTACCTTCACAGGTTTCATCAATTGGAATACGTGTTGGAAGCAATTTCCGCCATTTAACATAATGAGTGCGACAAAAACAGGTATCCCCTCCGCAGCAGCGGCACTAGGCTTCACGTTCGTCAATATGTGTTGGCATTCCAGTTTTTGGTTATAGTTCATTGGGTGTGACATAATTCCAGAAGTTAACTTTAAGTTATTTTCCAACTTAATCCTATTGGTTAGCCAATAGGATTATAAATTGATAAATTTATCTTGTAAACAGTTTATCTAAATATGAATAAACCAGGCCTAAGAAGGTTAATAAATTGACTACTAGCTGATTAGATACCTATAGTCTGTTTCATTGTTGATAGCTCAAATCGAGGTTTAGGATCATGAAACCATTGTAAACCAATGACTTTAGCGTGTTTGAAATGGGTAGAAAAATAATATGAAAACAACTGGCCTAGAATCGCCAACATTTTACGCATTAATTAAAATTATAATTAATTCATAAACTAAGAATATTGATTTGCTTATATTACTAGTAAGGCAAAACATATTATTAATTTAGCATTTAAAAACTAAAAACTGGTTTACATTATCAAAAACAAGATTGATTTTGAATTTTTGTTGTTTGTACATATTTTACTCAAATCCAAATTGCTTAAAATCCTTTTATCTTTTATCGAATTTGATAAATTGCAGTTTTGTTTACTGTATGAATAAGCTGATTTTCATGATCCCAGGGAAGAATTTCATAACTAAAAATTACTAGATAAAATCTTTTACTAATCAAAATGAGTACAATTCAAAGAATTGAGCCTCCAAAAAACAGAATATTTGAATATTCAAGGCCAGAAATCTTACGAGATACTTCTTCTAAATAATACCCTTGCCTTGACTCGAATAAATTCTTTTTACAAAGTTCAATTTATTGTATGTGGCCTAGTTTTCTCCACTTTCTACATTCTACTATGCATTTTGGAGCTCAGCTAATCAGTTGACAATAGAATATTGAGGAAATACAAATAAATCATTAATAAATCTTTACAATAATAAAAAAGATACAAGTTGATTTTTCTCACATATGGATCTTACCTGGAGGATTTCCTCAATTCAAAACAAACACAATTCGGCCAGGACAGTCACAAAATAATTTTTGGATCACTGAAAAACACTAAAGGCAACATAATTGGGTTTTTCCAATGGTTTTTCCTATTCTGATGGTAAAAAAACTCACTATATAGAAGAAAATAGAGAACAATTAAAAAACTTGCAAAATGGATTTTTATCCTTTAAACGTCAGTGTCAGCCATGTGTCAGTGCGCATGCAAAGTTGTGTTCCGTTTACTTGAATGGTTCACCTCAGCCTAAATTCAAATAAAATTGACCCCTCTGGATAATTTTGTAAGGGCCAAATTATGGACCGACTGATAAGTGTCAGGTTGTTACCTAGCAGGTACTTTCTATTCTCTAGTCTAAAGCATGGAAAGTACCTGTTAGGTAATAACCTGACACTTATCAGTCGGTCCATAATGTGGCCCTAAAAGCTTCTCTGGATTTAAAAAGGGTGAAGGATAAGTTACATGAGATACTGGAATGTCTAGGTAGTGATAACTTTCAGAGATTTCCTTGAGTTGTGATCCGTTTCCTTTGTAAATATCCATTTTTTAAATAAAATTAACTTTATAATAGCTTTTCAAGCCTCCTCAGGATTTAAAAAGGACAAATTAAGTTAATTGAGATTCTGTAGTATTTTTTTTTTATTCCTATCTATTGGCTACTATTTCAATGATTGGGAACTCAATGAACCTATAACTTTCGGGGATTTCCCCGATTTCCTTGTGTTGTGTTCCGTTTCCTTTAGAGGTTCACTTTTGAAAGTATCAATTTTTGAAATTGTTCATCCAATAAAATCATTTTTGATGGCTTTCTGAGCTTCCTCAGGAATTAAAAAGGGATAAAAGAAAGAAATTAAATGCGATTCTAGAATGTTTATGGGCTGTGCGAAATTAAAACTGGAAAATCCACAGGTTGCTGATAGAATGATAATCGATGAAAGATTTGAAATGAAATTGAAAGATATCGAAACTGAAAAGGATATTTATTTACCTTACCTGGCTTTACTTCCAAACTCCACTCAGCTGGCCAACTCACTACACGAACAATGGAAGCAATAAACAAACAAAAATGCAGTTAGATTTAATAATGACAGACTGTGCTAAGGCATGATAAGCTCGACCACAATGTAATGCTGTCTCAGCTGGGTAACTTTGGGTTCTCGGTTGCTGCTTGTCTTTTAATGCAGTCTTATCTGAAAGATTGGAAACAATATGTTAAAATGGGTGTCTGCCGCTCAGAGCCTTACTCAGCGACATCAAAGGTGCCACAGGGAAGCAATCTGGATCCCTTGCTCTTTGTCATATTTTATTAATGACTTGCCCAACTGCATAAAATTCTCAGAAAGCTTGGTATATGTTGATGCTTTTAAGGTTTTCAAGCTAATTACCAAACCAGAAGATTGCACGAGATTGCAGAAGGACCTGGACTCTGTTGCTCGCTGGTTTCTAGATCACAGGATGCATTTCAACATGAACAAGTGTCAAGCAATCATGTATACTCGCAACATCAATTACATCACAAATACCTAGGTATACAATAAATGATAGATCAATGTAGAGAAAAGACAAGTGTAAGAAAGGATCTCGGAGTTAATAACTTCCAAATGAACATGAAATTCAATGATCATTATTATTATGTTGTCAATAAGGCATATCGAGCATTGGGCTTTATTATAAGAAACACAAAACACTTCAAAAATATCGACACAATAGTAATAATATTATACAATGGTTAGAGTCTCACCTTGAATATGCCTCGTTTGGTTTCCTCAGGCAGAGGCCAACATAGATCTTTTGGAGAAGGTCCAGAAGAGGTTTTTGAGATACCTCTACTATAAAACTAATAACATTTACCCATACCTCGTTTCTTACAGGAGTATGCTGACTACTTATAATATTCAGTCTCTACATAGAAGAAAGGCGAAAAATTGCTTCAGTACTGTTTATACATTACATAATAAACAACATAAAATTTAAGTCGTGCCTTTTTATCAATAATATAAGCTTCCATGTTCCTAAAATAAATTTAAGAAGAAAAAACGCTGATCTGTTTTACTGTGCTGTGATACATTCAACTGGTTAGTAGGTACTGACCTCAATGCAGTATCAGTGTAATGTATCAATTGATAAGTCTGGTATTGACATGTACAATGTGGATGCTCAAAAGCTAAAATCTTGTTTTAATTTATATTGATGATTTGTAGTAGTGTATTTTTCGTAGTTTTAGTTAGATTCTAGGGATTCTTTTGAGTAGTAAGTTTATTAGATAGTAAGTGATAATTTTAATTTTAGTTATAGAAACCCTTACTTGTCATTATCAACTTGCTTGATGTTTGTAAGATGTACCACAAATAAATAAATAAATAAATAAACTCTTTCAGGAAGTTCAAGTCGAATGCGAAGGGGTACAAACGAAACCGTCTTGATTTAAACCGGTCGTGGCAAGCAAAAAACCGCAGGTTTATTCTCTCGAATCACACGAAGCGTTTCCAGTGTTTTAACGCGCGCATTCTTAAAAGCCAAATTTAGCAAAGCCGTATCAATTCTTAGGCATAAAACGCGCAATTCAATTAGAATAAAAGAAACAAAATATAAAGAAAAAAAAACGAATCAATTTCCATTCCCATAAATAGGATTTGACATCCCGTAAATACCCAATTTAACTTAACAACTATATACAGGGCGCGTAAACGAAACTGAACATGGGCAATTATAGCTTTTTGGGTTTTTCTTGTGTTATGTTCCGGTCTCTTTGAGACTCGAGAGAATTTTGTATGGATTTGGGGGTTTCAACCTCAGACAACTGTGCTCAGACTCTCAGACGTTTCAATACTGTAAAACAAGCCTTTTTCTTTATTAACTTCATCAATTGATCATTTAAAAACGGTTGTCAGACACCCATTTATACTGACTTTAGTAAGGACTTTGATAAGGTCAATCATAGTTTGGATTTCTTGGTTGTAGTCATATTTATCTGGTAGGGTTTAGCAGGTAAAAATTGATGGTTATCTTTCGATTGAGTTTGTTGTTACATCTGGGGTCCCTCAGAGATCTCATTTCGGATCTCTGCTATTCAGTTTATTCATCAATGACCTGGGAAATCTACGTTCCTCCAATTTTCTAATGTTCGCAGAAGATTTGAAGATATTTTGGGAAGTATCATCAACTCATGATATTGTTACGCTTATTAGGTTGTTTGTGGAAAGCGGTGCCGCCACTTTATCTACACTTGGCTGCGTCGGCTAAGGGTTTATCCTGAAAAGAGGTTATGGGGGAGGGAAAGATTTCACCACTAGCAGTTAATACATCTATTAGTTACAGCTTAATTTATGTAGGAGATGATTAAATAGGGTTTACCAAAAACAGATCGCAGTAAATGTTCTTCCCTGGTGGGCCATCATTTAACATTCCCTTGGAATGCCTATTTTTAGGGAAATCACTACGTTGTCAATAGTATACCCAAACAGCCCTATGTAAATGTACTCTCGAGGAGCTTAGTTTCCATAGGTCTAGGTTTGAGGCTTCTACAGCATGACATTCACCTTAGGATCCCAATCGTAGTGTAGCAAGTCACACCCAACTTGGAAAGAAAGTCTTTAGGCCTGTACCCTCGAGATGCTTAAGGCTGTAGAAACTAACCTAACCAACGACGATTATCCACAAGCCAGTGGGACAATTGAACAAACCATAAGATTGCCCACCAACTAGTGGGACAAACCACAAGCCACTATGTCCTTAAGCCATACGATTGTCCACAAGCCAATGGGACAATTGAACAAACGGGCGCTTTCTTTCATTCAGCGGTGGATCCATCAGTAATCAGCCTATCTTTGTCTAGCTCATAGAAAATGGGAATATCTATCTCATAATGCTGGCAGCAGATGGATCAATTGCTGAATAAAAGAAAGCGTCCAACCATAGGACTGCCCTCCAACCAGTGGGACAACCCCTAAGCCACTATGTTGTAATGACCCGGGAAAATAGACCCGTAATTTACAATGTCTTTACTGTAAAAATTAAATGTAATCGAATAATCAAAAACTGAATCTCTAATAATTAACATCAGTACCTATCTATAAATTGGAAATGAAACCAATAAAAATTGACCCAAATCAATTAAAATATCTAAAAAACGTCTAATTTCTTATTGTTTAGTCATCATCTAAATCAAATCCATAAGAATATTAAAAGCGAGGCCAAAGTAATTGAATCGGTGATTTATGGCCGAGACGTCGACACGTGTGTCGGTTTTCTTTGAGTTATATGTCCAATTCTTACAACCAAATCTGTTAAACCCGATACACCAGGAAATTGCGACATAATTATTCGATTTTAAACAAATAAAAAAGGAAGGTTAATGAATGATGAAATTTGGAATTTTTGGGGAAACGAAACATATAAATACAGCGGTTTTAGAAGTGGAGAATCAGTTGAGTTTTAAGTGGTCAGTTCAATCCAGTTCAGTTTTAAGTCTACAGTACCTAATGAGTCAGCGCGGATAAAATTCGCGAAGAGTTTCTTTTATTTTTGCCTCGGGAAAACGCGTTAAGTCTTTGAAAAAGTAACGGAAAATTGTGAAAGAAAGAACATTCAGTCATTCAACATTATGTACGAGCTCTAGAGATTTTTGAAGTAAATTAATTAAGTAATTTTACGCGTGAAAAGTTAAATGTAAGTACTCTAGTGACTATAGTTTTGTTTTATTTTGACTTTAACAATGATTCGGAATGATAAGAAGTGAATTGACAATGAACTTTAATCAGTGGCGACGCGTGACTTGTAATCTGGGGGGGGGGTAATAGGAAGATGCGACCCCCCGCTAACGCGCCGCAGGCGAAATTTTTTGCAAATTTCAAGGTGATTCACTTTTCCAGAACAATTATTTCCTTTGTGAAGAAAATAAAACAAAAAAAAAAAGTATTTTCTTCAATATTATTATGTCTTTTCTTTTGGGCATCGTGATTTTTCCCTTGATTATTGGATCCTGGAAGGGGTAATTACCCCCCATTAACCCCCCCCCCCCGACGCGGCGCCCCTGACTTTTAATGCATGAAAACTTGAGTGATTAACCTATAAAAACTTTGTGGTTTCAAGTATAGTAGAATATAATTTAGTAAACCACAATAGTTTGTTTCTCTCTTTTGCGAATAGACCCCCTCCACAATTTTATAGGTAGCCGCTCAAGGAAATAAACACCATCAATATACCGCTTGCCATTTACCATCTAACTTATTAAATAGAGTACTTGGGCGCGTTTGGCTACAATGTATCCATATATTTTTTTAAAGTTGATCTAGTTGTGAGGAAATCTCCAAAAATCAAGAAGCTGTAAAATGTGTTTATTATTTAAATCTAATTCGATTGAAAATCTCATTTATTATTAATTTTACATAATATCACAGCATTTTCATTATACAAACACACACAATAGAAATAAATTCTTATGTATCTATAAGATTTTAAATAAAAAACCCGAACCACTGCTAAAACGTTGTGGTTACAAATTTTTCTACATTATGCCATTTGACTATAAGATCAATAATCATCATTAATCAACGTGATAATATTTGACTCGAGTTTAAAAATAATTATTTTACCACTTTAAACAAAAACTTTCATTCAAATCTAGAAACATTTTACCATAAAAATCCTAAAACATCCCATCGTTGACACCAATAGGCACCATTAGAGCCAAAAACAAAATAAAATTCCTCAAAACGTGCTTCCAATCGTTGGGAATTGCGTACGGAATCAGATATTCCGTGATTTGATGGATCTCGTGCGAGGCGCAAACAAATATAAAAGTCGTCACGATCAAATTGAGCACGGGAAATCCTGGTATAAGTACCAAAACTCCATGAGTATCAGCCGCCAACCAAATATGGTACTGACTCAGAAACAGTTCCAAGTGGAACTCGCCAAACCAGGCGAAAAACGTAGAAAACCGAGTACGCAACATGCCAGAAACGTTCCTCAAAAATAAATAACTAACAATAGGTATAAAAACTATATAAGAGTGAATTTCGCTGCATTCTAGTTCAATCCTACACAAAAAGCTCAATGAAATATAAGTACCAATACCAATAAGAGCTGCTAAAGTACCAGTCAAAGCCACCCTCTTTGAAAACAAATTGTAATGATTATTATCGTCAAAAATATTATATTTTTGCCCTGCAACCAACAACAAAGAAAAACACATACCGTAAATCATTGAGTAGCGGTCCAATTTCCATCTGAACCACCACTCGTGAATATCATCATCTGTAGTCACAAATAAAGCCTTCCAAGGCCTGGTGACAAAGATTTTTTCGAAAAACACTTCAGACATAAACAAAATGGTGACAATAGTAAAAAGTACAATAAATTTGATTAGTAAATAGAAAAATTGCATCATATTGTTGTCAGTGTTTTGGGCTGTAATGTGAGGAGGAAATGCCATGAAAAAATAAAAAGTTATGTACCAAAACGATAATAGAGGACTAAAATAGTAAAACTGATAAGGCCTATTCATACATAAGCATAATGTTACTGTAATGAAGTTTAATTTGAATAAGTTCCTTAAGAAACTTACCAGGCCTATATCAGCACGGTGCCAAACATAAAAAAAATGCTCATAGCCTAATAAAAACAAATAGGAACTGATCAGTACTTTTACGTGCATATTTATAACCAAAATCCTACTGGCACCAGTTACATGGTAAACCAATATAACCAAAAGCATCCAGCCTTTGCACTCGTTCAATTGATCTCGGTGCAAAACTTTAGTCAACTTACTGTCTTCAGTAAAAAAAAACCCTAACACCATCACATAGCCAATGGGCAACCAAAAACTAAATTCTGAATAATATTTGTTTTCTTTCATGAAAAAATTAGTACGATCGCATACAAAAAAATACACCATTATAACTGAAAGTTTAGCTAAAGTCTTAAACAACTTGTTATAGTTGTAGGTCCAGGAAATTTCATTTTCTTGTAGTCTTTGGTATTCGTGCAAAGGACGGCAGAAGATTTTGACAATGAATCTGTAAATGCTTAGGCAAATTGCTGTTAAAACACTAAAAAATAAATTATTAATAGTTAAGTAAATTAGAATGCATTATCATACCAAATAGCTAAAATCACAAAAGTAACAATTTGCAATGTAGTTGCAGTTTCCATTGAGCTACAACAAGTACCATCATCAAAATTCATGTAATCATTACAGTACATATTTAAAAGTATTTGAGTACTATGCTTCAAAGGCCTTTCAGCTAAAAAGACTCCATCAGGGCTTTCCAATACCATGCCTTGTCCAATTAAACGTATACTCCACCACAAGTTAGCCTTAGAATGTGACAAAATTTCTATTGCAGCATTGTTATATAAATCCAATAAATAATTAGTCACTCCATCTTCAAGTTTGTCTTCATTTACTGGAGGCTGTATCATCCACAAAACCCTAGACTTTTTAGCAAACAATTTATCAATCGGACTAACCAAATGGGTTAAATTTGTTTTGTATTGTTCAATGTTTGATTTGTTTGAACTTATTATTGGATACCAGGCGCAACCTGCTACAATAACAGAAGGCGGATCTTTGGCTGATTCCCAACTTCTGAAATAATTAATCATTTCTTTTGAGACATGATCAACCCACAAAAAATCAACTTTTATGTGCAATTTGCTGTCAAAATACGACAAATTAGTGTGCAAGTTTTCGCTAATTACATCAGGATCGTTTAAGGATATGTGATTGATAAATCCGTAATATAATTGACGGATTCTGTGGTCTCCTATAAAAGTGAAACGTGAAGTTGATCCGTAGTAAGCTATGTATCTTAAACAGAGTTTTGTGTCTCTGGAAAAAAAACAAATAAAGGTGGTAATTATTGTTGTGTAATATTGATTGTTTTGAATTTACATTTTGGTGTAAGGATGAAGCATGCAGCCATACGGTTGCCATTCTTGGTCACCCTTATATCTACCATCGGACAATAACCAGCGGCAAGAGTTTGTACCTGTAACAAGAGAAAAATCATTGTAGATAAAAAGCTGAAATTTTCAGCGATTCTTATTCCAGTAGAGGACTACAATCCCTGAAAATTTCAAGTCATTTGGATTTATAGTTCCTGAGATAAAATTGTGTTAAGCAATTTGGGGTGATTTATCAATTTTTCAATTTTTCTGAGTGCCTTTTTTTCATAGATTTCGGCTTCAAATCTGAGAATAATTTAGTGTATGGAGATTGGGGGATGTTGATTTACCATTAGGATACCAAATCTCAACAAAAAAAAATTGAAATTTCATCGTTTTTGTAAGAAGGTTATGATTTAGATTTTGGAAAACTTTGAAAGGTCATAACTTTTTTTCTATTATAGATAAAAAGCTGAAACTTTCACTGAATTTTATCCCTTTCAAAGGACTACAATCCCTGAAAATTTCAGCTCATTTGCACTTATAGTTCCTGAGATAAAATCGTGTTGAGTAATTTGGGGTGATTTATCAATTTTTCAATTTTTCTGAGTCCCTTTTTTCATAGATTTCAGCTTCAAATTTGAGAATAATTTAGTGTATGGAGTTTGGGGTATGTTGATTGACCATTAGGATACAAAATCTCGACAAAAAAAATTTGAAATTTCATCGTTTTAGTAAGAAGGTACCTACCTTATGATTTAGATTTTGGAAAACTTTGAAAGGTCATAACTTTTTTTCTATTATAGGTAGATAGACAGCTGAAACTTTTACTGAATTTTATCCCTTTCAAAGGACTACAATCCCTGAAAATTTCAGCTCATTTGCACTTATAGTTCCTGAGATAAAATCGTGTTAAGCAATTTGGGGTGATTTATCAATTTTTCTGAGTGCCTTTTTTCATAGATTTCGGCTTCAAATCCGAGAATAATTTAGTGTATGGAGTTTGGGGTATGTTGATTGACCATTAGGACACAAAATCTCGACAAATTTTTTTTTGAAATTTCATTGTTTTAGTAAGAAGGTACCTACCTTATGATTTAGATTTTGGAAAACTTTGAAAGGTCATAACTTTTTTTCTATTATAGATAGACAGCTGAAACTTTTACTGAATTTTATCCCTTTCAAAGGATTACAATCCCTGAAAATTTCAGCTCATTTGCACTTATAGTTCCTGAGATAAAATCGTGTTAAGCAATTTGGGGTGATTTATCAATTTTTCTGAGTGCCTTTTTTCATAGATTTCAGCTTCAAATCTGAGAATAATTTAGTGTATGGAGTTTGGGGTATGTTGATTGACCATTAGGATACAAAATCTCGACAAAAAAAATTTGAAATTTCATCGTTTTAGTAAGAAGGTACCACCTTATGATTTAGATTTTGGAAAACTTTGAAAGGTCATAACTTTTTTTCTATTATAGATAGACAGCTGAAACTTTCACTGAATTTTATCCCTTTCAAAGGACTACAATCCCTGAAAATTTCAGCTCATTTGCACTTATAGTTCCTGAGATAAAATCGTGTTAAGCAATTTGGGGTGATTTATCAATTTTTCTGAGTGCCTTTTTTCATAGATTTCGGCTTCAAATCCGAGAATAATTTAGTGTATGGAGTTTGGGGTATGTTGATTGACCATTAGGACACAAAATCTCGACAATTTTTTTTTTGAAATTTCATTGTTTTAGTAAGAAGGTACCTACCTTATGATTTAGATTTTGGAAAACTTTGAAAGGTCATAACTTTTTTTCTATTATAGATAGACAGCTGAAACTTTCACTGAATTTTATCCCTTTCAAAGGACTACAATCCCTGAAAATTTCAGCTCATTTGCACTTATAGTTCCTGAGATAAAATCGTGTTAAGCAATTTGGGGTGATTTATCAATTTTTCAATTTTTCTGAGTCCCTTTTTTCATAGATTTCAGCTTCAAATCTGAGAATAATTTAGTGTATGGAGTTTGGGGTATGTTGATTGACCATTAGGATACAAAATCTCGACAAAAAAAATTTGAAATTTCATCGTTTTAGTAAGAAGGTACCTACCTTATGATTTAGATTTTGGAAAACTTTGAAAGGTCATAACTTTTTTTCTATTATAGATAGAAAGCTGAAACTTTCACTGAATTTTATCCCTTTCAAAGGACTACAATCCCTGAAAATTTCAGCTCATTTGCACTTATAGTTCCTGAGATAAAATCGTGTTAAGCAATTTGGGGTGATTTATCAATTTTTCAATTTTTCTGAGTGCCTTTTTTCATAGGTTTCGGCTTCAAATCTGAGAATAAGTTAGTGTATGAAGTTTGGGGTATATTGATTGGCCATTAGGATACAAAATCTAGACAAAAATAATTTTGAAATTTCATCGTTTTAGTAAGAAGGTACCTACCTTATGATTTAGGTACCTCGGTAGGTACATTACGATTTAGATTTTGGAAAACTTTGAAAGGTCATAACTTTTTTTCTATTATAGATAGACAGCTGAAACTTTCACTGAATTTTATCCCTTTCAAAGGACTACAATCCCTGCAAATTTCAGCTCATTTGCACTTATAGTTCCTGAGATAAAATCGTGTTAAGCAATTTGGGGTGATTTATCAATTTTTCTGAGTGCCTTTTTTCATAGATTTCGGCTTCAAATCTGAGAATAATTTAGTGTATGGAGTTTGGGGTATGTTGATTGACCATTACGACACAAAATCTCGACAAAAAATTTTTTGAAATTTCATCGTTTTAGTAAGAAGGTACCACCTACCTTATGATTTAGATTTTGGAAAACTTTGAAAGGTCATAACTTTTTTTCTATTATAGATAGAAAGCTGAAACTTTCACTGAATTTTATCCCTTTCAAAGGAGTACAATCCTTGAAAATTTCAGCTCATTTGCACTTATAGTTCCTGAGATAAAATCGTGTTAAGCAATTTGGGGTGATTTATCAATTTTTCTGAGTGCCTTTTTTCATAGATTTCGGCTTCAAATCTGAGAATAATTTAGTGTATGGAGTTTGGGGTATGTTGATTGACCATTAGGATACAAAATCTCGACAAAAAAAAATTTGAAATTTCATCGTTTTAGTAAAAAGATACCTACCTTATGATTTAGATCTTGGAAAACTTTGAAAGGTCATAACTTTTTTTCTATTATAGATAGAAAGCTGAAACTTTCACTGAATTTTATCCCTTGAAAAGGACTACAATCCCTGAAAATTTCAGCTCATTTGCACTTATAGTTCCTGAGATAAAATCGTGTTAAGCAATTTGGGGTGATTTATCAATTTTTCAATTTTTCTGAGTGCCTTCTTTCATAGATTTCGGCTTCAAATCTGAGAATAAATTAGTGTATGGAGTTTGGGGTATGTTGATTGACCATTAGGATACAAAATCTCGACAAAAAAAAAATTGAAATTTCATCGTTTTAGTAAAAAGATACCTACCTTATGATTTAGATCTTGGAAAACTTTGAAAGGTCATAACTTTTTTTCTATTTTATCTATATATTCTCATTTGCACTTAAAGTTCCTGAGATAAAATCGTGTTAAGCAATTTGGGGTGATTTATCAATTTTTCTGAGTGCCTTTTTTCATAGATTTCGGCTTCAAATCTGAGAATAATTTAGTTTATGGAGTTCAGGATATCACGAGGGACCATTAGGGCACAAAATCTCGACAAAAAAAAAATTGGAAATAACATCGTTCTAGTAAGAAGCTTGGTAAGAAGGTATCCCCCTTCTTCTGGATCACAGTGAAGAATTTTTGCTTGGATTTTTGTATCTTTTGATATGATGGATTATATTTGGACACACAAACAACAATTAAATCAATAGTTGCAGCAATAAGAATAAAACATTGAAATAAGATAAAAACAGCTATCGGAATATCAGATATTTTCTGACAGAATGGGAAGTGTGACTTCTCCAAAAATCATACAAAAAACAGGCTGTTGTGCATTTAAAAAACCGCTCATCCATGGTGTATTTAACTCTTTAGTTTTTGGTTCAAATGATTTTTTAGTATCATTTTTGAGTTCTCCAGAAAAAAAAATTCCAATTGGCTATTTTCAATTTTCTCAAAAATACAGGGAAAGTCAAAAATAATCCCCTGTCAACCCCTGTTCAGTCCTCGTTGGATGACCGATGACCTTGTACTATTAACAACTTATGGGTCATTTACATCCACTTAACGTACGGAAAATTATAATTAACTTACGAAACTAATCTGAGTACAAAACTGATAATTTACAGACTAGTGCAATCTGTCTGTCATTCATAATAATTATTATTGAAATTAACGTACGGATTTCCTCAAGTTGCAGTTGGTTCAGTTTTCCGTGTGTTACGTCAATTTTTTTAATTTTTAAGTGGATGTAAACAACTACAGATAAGTATACTATGATCATCAACTTTTCTTAATTATTAATTTTCTGTATGTTAAGTTAAGTTGAGTGGATGTAAATGACACTTTACTAATACTGATTACTTATACATATCAGGTAGTAGGTATATCTTTCCATTTGTTTCAATTAATCTGCAGTAAATACAAATTATGTAAGCATATTTAGCCCTCGATTTAGCCTGTTCGAAGATGGACTATAATTTTCATTCTATAATATTTCAATTTTGGGTGATAAAGAATTAATTATTCTCCGAGCATAAGAAAATACTAATAATTTTAAATAGCGCGAAATAACTCGGCTTACCGCGAAATACTTCCGAATTACCTCGAAATACTTCAAATTACCTCGAAATACGAAGAATTACCTGCAAATATTTTGGAATACCCGGCAATACCACAAAAAACTAGGTTCGAATTACCACCACCGAAATACTTTGAATTTCGCATTTCGCGAAATACTTGCGAAATAACGACATTTTCGCAATACGTGTACAGGGTATTTGATTATATTTGGCACCATACCTACAACCTTTACTATTTAAGATAGAAAAAAATTGTAAATACAAAACTTGACAGTTTTTTTCTATATTTTCTTTTAACATTATCAGAAAAAACAAAATCGCATCGGAAAATGGAGAAACGTAGAAAAATTCGACTTTTTTAAATGGAACACCCTGTATATTTTGCGATAAAATGAAAGACCTTTTCTTCCTGATAACAAATATATATGTATATGTTGATCATATTTGCATGAGCCATTTTTGACATATCTCAGCTTAAATTATAACTAAATTGCAAAGAAATTTTATAAAGATAGAGATCCTTATGGAACTTCAAATTCTTTATAATTTAACCAGAGATATGTCAAAAATGGCTCATGCAAATGTGATCAGCATATATATATTTGTAATCAGGAAGAAAAGGTCTTTCATTTTATCGCAAAATATACAGGGTGTTCCATTTAAAAAAGTCGAAGTTGTCTACGTTGCTCCATTTTCCGATGCGATTTTGTTTTTTCTGATAATGTTAAAAGAAAATATAGAAAAAAACTGTCAAGTTTTGTATTTACAATTTTTTTCTATCTTAAATAGTAAAGGCTGTAGGTATGGTGCCAAATATAATCAAATACCCTGTACACATTTTTACAGAGTGGTTAACCCCTCGTTTTTTTCTATTATAGATAGAAAGCTGAATCTTTCACTGAATTTTATCCCTTTCAAAGGACTACAATCCCTTAAAATTTCAGCTCATTTGCACTTATAGTTCCTGAGATAAAATCGTGTTAAGCAATTGGGGTGATTTATAAATGTTTCAATTTTTCTGGGTGCCCTTTTTCTTAGATTTCGGCTTCAAATCTGAGAATAATTTAGTTTATGGAGTTTGGGGGTTGCTAATTGACCAGTAGGATACAAAATCTCAACAAATTTTTTTTTTAAATTTCATCGTTTTAGTAAGAAGGTACTCCCCTCGGTACTCCCTTTATGATTTTTTTGGAAAACTTTGAAAGGTCATAACTTTTTTTTCTATTATAGATAGAAAGCTGAAACTTTCACTGAATTTTATCCCAATCAAGGAACTACAATCCCTAAAAATTTCACCTCATTTGCACTTATAGTTCCTGAGATAAAATCGTGTTAAGCAATTTGGGGTGAATTATCAATTTTTCAATTTTTCTGAGTGCCTTTTTTCATAGACTTCGGCTTCAAATCTGAGAATAATTTAGTGTATGGAGTTTGGGGTATGTTGATTGACCATTAGGATACAAAATCTCAACAAAAAAAAAATTGAAATTTCATCGTTTTAGTAAGAAGGTAGGTACCTTATGATTTAGATTTTGGAAAACTTTGAAAGGTCATAACTATTTTTCTATTATAGATAGAAAGCTGAAACTTTTACTGAATTTTATCCTAATCAAGGAACTACAATCCCTGGAAATTTCAGCACATTTGCACTTATACTTCCTGAGATAAAATCGTGTTAAGCAATTTGGGGTGATTTATCAATTTTTGTGAGTGCCTTTTTTCATAGATTTCGGCTTCAAATCTGAGAATAATTTAGTGTATGGTTTGGTGGATGTTGATTGACCATTAGGATACAAAATCTCGACAAACCTAATGTTCGCCTTACGAGTCTAGCACTATGGAAAGAATGCGGATAAAAAATTGCAATAATGCCTATTTGAATTCCAATAGAAAATACTTCAATATTTATATGTTACACACCTACATTTATAAGGAAAAAGTAAGATTTGAAAACGCTGCGCTTACGCCTATGACAGGCAGCATAGAGCTCCAAATAAATGGCGTTATTCCCCCTTGCCTTTCAGACGTCGTAGTGCTAGACTCGTAAGGCGAACTATACATTATGATTTAGATTTTGGAAAACTTTGAAAGGTCTAACAACTGAATGAATTTTTGGATTTTTCGACTTACCATATTTCACATGCAACAGAGCGTGGTAACAGGCAAAGCACAGAACTAGAAACAGGGCTACTTTTTTAGCATTTTTCGAGTTGATTTCGGCAATTATCTTTTCAATACGAGTATTTTCCACCGTTTCACTACTCATTTTATTGGGAGTTTCTTGAGAAGACAACCTAAATACAAATAATACATTTAGATGTTGTTTACACACATTAATTAATCAATGAATTAAAAAATGCTCAAAGGGCCAACCAAAATCTAAACAAATAACTGTAATAAACATAACCTTAAATTTTTAAAAAAAGTAAACACAAGTGACATAAGGCTGTATTTAGTGGCGCCATCTATTATTTATAATAATTTATTTTAATGAAAAACACTTAAAAATAAGAACAATAGATGTTAAATATGCTTTAATAAAGTTGTTAATAATTAAAAATCCACAAAAAAATATAAAAATTGTAGCTTAAACCTTGAATTATTGTTACAGGAATCTGTAAAATCAATGGCGCCGTCTATCGATTTTTCGAGCAACGTTGCCATTTTGACAACTGGCTGTCAAACATTCGCCGACCCTCAAGAGATGATAGATCTTTTCCAAAAAAACGAAAAAAAATCGCAAAATATTTCGAAAAAGGCAAAAGACTGGGAAATTTTAAGTTCTAGGAAGGATTATGTGCTCGATTCAATTAAAACATTATTAATTTTTATTGAATTGTACCTCAGAATAAAATTATCCTGATGGATTGGATGTCTCCGAGCTCTCGTCCCCATTCAACATTGTCACAGCTGGGTAGAACAAGTAATTTTTTCAGTATTTTTATTTTTAATTATTTGTATTTGTAGATTAGAGTTTAATTTTTTATTTATTTATCAGTATAAACGAGTAAAAGTCCATAAACTATCTCTTCAAAGTACAAACTTTGTACTTAATTTTTTTTGTCTTCGAGTCTTCAGATTGAAAATTATTTTGTTGCTCCTGTAATTCATTTAATAAAAACTTTCTAAAATTAAAGAATTTTTGGAATTTGTAACAATTTTATTGAGGTCATTTGAAAGTATATACAAAGCAACAATAGAATTTCAATTTTTATTTTTTTTTTGTACCTAGAACGAACAATAAATATTCTCTCAATAATTTATCATTGAGCAGCCTTCAGCTGCAACTTTTTGAGTAATTTTTGCCAACAATACCATCTCCGGCTGGTGTAGAGAAAATCTTTTCTACCAAAGTATAATCCATCCCAGGGGATCAACCACTTATCAGAATTTGTACCTATGTTACACCTATTACCCTTTTTAGGTAATAGTCTATGGTATTGCTAGGTATTACAATGTATTACCAATACACAAAAACCCACCATCAATATTGACAAAGACAAAAATCCAGTGGGCTTTTTTTTGTGTCAGAAACCCATTCATAGATAAATACCTAGTAAGTTTCCTATTTCAGGCTATCGAATTTGTTTTAAATATTCATAATTTACCTAGTAAGTAGTCTGAAATAGAAAACATTTATTAGTTTTCTAGATGTAAGAGGATGCATTTATGCATGATATGGTTTTTTTGAAGTTAATTTTCATGAATTTCTCTTGTTGCTGTTTTCAGTTGAAAACTGTTAAAATTTTAATATGATGAGCTCCTAATTTTTCTTTTTTTATCTTAAAAGTTTTATAATTTTCCCTTCAGTAGTTTTCAAGAAAAATATTACTATGTAAGAGATTGCATTTGTGCTTAATTTATTTAGATTTGAAAAAATAGTCAATTTTCTTACAGTGGAGCTTTGTAAATTACAAACAAGGGCTAAACCCGAGGGGCTTTTCACCTACCAAAATTTGTACACCGATTTCCATTTTTCTTAACATTTCACAGTTTTTCCATGTATTTTCGAGTATTTCTAAGTAGTATTTCCAAATATTCCCTAGTATTTCAAAGTATTTCTGAGTACATATTTCTTAGTATTTCCAAGTATTTCCAGGTATTTCCAAGTATTCTCTTAATATTTTAAAGTTTTACCTAGTAGCTAATTCAATTTAAACAATAGGCTAAATTTCATTTTGTTACCACTACATTGATTTGACAAGGTACACTGAAAGTAGAAGAAACCAAACACCTCTAGGTAGGTACCAACAAAACTTAAAATAGGCTGATAGGGCCAAAAAAAAAAAAAAATATTCCCAATCACTCTACTATCTTCT